ATTACAAAGGATGGTCTTTAACCTTTTAACTCGCAAGATCTTATTAGCAATTCTTCTTACTGTCTGCCATACAATTCCTATAATGTTAGTTCAGAGAATTTAGTGTTGGATCAGCCAATTATCCCCTAATTGATTTTTTTACTTTATAAATATATCTCGTTTTTCCGGCTGGGCAGTATTTTTAAGCAAACACGTCGGTCACTACCTCAAGCCGATGAATAACTTATGAATCCTCTCTTTTCTCTCACTCAAATCACTTTGGTTGACAGAAAAATATTGGTTTCAGAATGAATTTGTATAAACAATAGTGTCATTACATTGGTTGACAAGCGGCCTAAAACCCGTCTGCAATTAATTTTAATCGTTTACAAAAAGTACTTAGAAAGTTAAAACGTGAGGTATTTGGTTACAGTTAAACTGAACGATGGAACTTTCATTCATTTAATACCTGAATTTTCTCAAGCAATTTGTTCACAGTTAAAGAGCGAGCGTAGTTTTAATTTAAGTTATACAACAAATATACGCTCTCGGTGAGTCTTTCCAAGTCCGTTCAATTTGAACATTTGTGCCGTAAATTGCACAACAGAAACTGAAGGAATTTTTTGAGAAAAGGCCGCATTAAATCGCCTTGTGTCTCGTTGGAATGTGCCATTCGAATTTAGTTTTTGTGAAGCAAAGACCAGATTTACACACGCCATTGCAGCAAACAAATGAGCAAACTCTCACAACTTCAAAATAAAAAATTTGAATTTACTCACAATTACTTTCCTCGCCGCTTACTTAGTGAATAGAGGTAAATCTTCGTACATGAATGAATCATCGATGAGAGTGAATATTACTTTCCGTTAGATCATTGAATGTTTTTGAAGAAAACGTTGTCGTGACAGTCTTTACCAAACTAGTTCCGTTGTTTTTCAAATGTTCTTACGCTTTTTTTAACTTACGCGCTCTCTAATCGACAGGTGTCAGATTGTGACAGATACTTGTAAAAATAATGTTTCAAAGTTTGTTTGGAAGCCTTTTAAATTATCGTTACGGAAATGTTTCGCTGAGGCATCTCTCTTGAGTTTGCATCACCTCTATTTCAACTACCATTTACTCGCTCAAAAACTGTTCAGTTTATGGAAGATCTTGCCGTATTTACAGTCCCAAATCATTCGGGTTCTTTTGGAAAGAACTTCGTCAAGTTTCAAAAAAAATAAATATGTTACTGACCTCGGTCACAGTTTTTCACCATACGGAACTCCAAGCCGGCAAATAACATATATATATTCTCATCTCTTCTATGCTTGATATTGTATTGATATTGTAAGGAGAAATTCTGTCTTGATCACTCATGGGAGTTAAAGGGTTAAAGATGCGAACACGGTTCGTTTTTTTGAAACGTCGTTAAAAAGTGTTCTTAGGCAAGTGCACTTAATGCATCAAGATGACGTGGATATTTTCGTGTTCAAAAGGATAACAAAATGATACTTGTAACTTCCTGAGAGTGCACCGTCAATTTTGAACAAATTTAGAGAAGATGCGGGTGTGAAAATCTTTTAGCAGGAAATCCTATTTAAATACTATATATACTTGCAAAGGGCTCGAAATGTTTCAACCACAGATCACTTGCACAACTGTCGATCCTGTCTCGATGCACCGAACTCCTCTCCTTAAAAGCGTGGTAAGTGGCATTCTCGCTAAAAATTCGAGTATGACACCTTAAACATCCTAATTTTTCTCCTTGGTTTTACTCTTTTTCTCTGCGTCACTTCAATATTTATGCAAATTGTTTGACATCTTCTCTCATGGAACTTAATCATAGAGCCTTATGTCAAAATTAAGTGATGGGAACGAACCAGATACAGCTTCCTCAAGTGACGCATATCTTCTTCCTAATTTTCATTTTTATAAGTCTTAGTACCTTGCATTGTAGAATTTACAAGAAAAATTACCGAATTTCTGAAATATATTTACCTCCTTTCCACCGACGCCTTAATTAACTCATAAATAAAGCAATTTGAAAATTTTTCGATATTTCACCTACATTGTTGCAATGCTGCCAGTAACGTTTATTTCAGGAGCGTATTGGATGTGCTTTAAAACAACACTTTTGTTTATCGTCTTTTAATTCAATCCAGTCTAATTGCAACATTTCCAGAAGTTTCATCGTCGCTCGTACAATTCAACACCTCAAAAAGTTTGGCACAGCCTAGCACAATAAACAAGACAATAGTTCATTTTCAGAAATGACAGAGAGTGAAAAGACATCCGGATCGATTTCTTTCCTCCAAACCGGATTTTTTTACGGCAGGAGTTATAATTGAAGCAAGAAAAGAGATACGCACACAGGCACTTAACTTAATGTCCCTCGAGGGCTTTTTCAGCCATGGGCCGAACTGAATTTAATTTGGAAAAATTGAAGACACAAACCTGTTACGTAACTTACAAACGATGGTCTATATGTGTAGGCTGAACTTGCAAACCTATATTTAGCTACAGCAGATTTGCTTAAGACACAACCTTAGGACACGTCTGTTCAAGCTGGCTTACAATTTGCTTTAACACTTTTTATAGTTTTAAACATTTTTATATTTTTCATATTTTATCGTTTAATCGTTTTAATATTTTTATAAAATATTTTGTAAAGCGCTTTAGAATATTTTTATAATTTTAGCGCTTTAGAAATGTAAATTATTATTATTATTATTATTATTATTTGGAGAAATAGATAAACTAAAAATAATTCAAGTTTGCCTACACTATTCATTATGTCTCGTTCCACTATACCTTTGAGCAGAGCTTTTACAATTAGTTGATTATTCTTTGTCTTCTGTATTTACTTTCATCTCTCTTAACTGGTCTTTGGAACAAGCTAGACGTAGTCTTTGTCTTCATATGAATGCTAGGAAAAGGAGCAAAATGCTTAGTCAGGTAAAATTTCAATTTTAAAGGAAGTCAGGCGGTGCTTTTAAAACGCGATTTTATCAATTAGCTTTCGGTACTGTAAAAAATTAGGTGAAATATCTTTATGACAAGATGCTTTGAAAGATAAGTAGTCTTTACATAGCAAGGGCCTATCCTTGCTTATCATTAACCTGTTTATTCAGATCATATTTTTTCAAGGTTTTTATGAGACAGGAAACGATGAACATTTAAAAATTGGTTTATAACTTGAACTTTATAGTGTCAGGTGTGCCGGCAATGGAGTGCTGATCGACTAAATAATTGTAATTTCAAGGATCTTAACAGCTTTTCGCCAAAATATCACTGAAGTCTTAGTTTTCTTACGTAAGCATGACGATAAATCGATTTTTAGCGGACATCTTTGTTTGTATCGCGAGGTTTATATTCACTTGTTATTATTGCAGTCGCAAACCCTGTAAGTAATGTATTTTTTATTATCTCACTTTTCAATAAATCTCCTTCTCTAATCCCTTTCTTTTCACTCAAATTTTTATTCTTGTTACACACATTGACACAGAAGTTATAAATGGCTGATCGAGGCTTTCAGTGCTTTAAGCATCAAAATCAATTTATATCCTGCAGTTGAAAGAGTACTTTATCAAACAATGAAATTCAATAACAATCGACATCCTCCCATCAAATTGTTGGCGATGGAAACACTTAATCTCCATGACGCTCTGTTTCCAGAAGCTTATTTGTTCCACGTCTCAGAAATTAAACGGGTTTTGTTTTATTTTCGCCGATCTTGATGGAAATACTAATAGTAAATTCTATGAAGCCTCTCGGTCGGAAAGAAGAAAATTAAACTTAATCTTAGAACGGATTTGTCTGAATTGGTGAGAAGTTTTTCTTCTTCAGTTAATTCAGCTTCGTTAGCGCTAGATTTTCGTACAAGTTAGTCATGCACAGCTTAAAATATTGGACCATATCTAAATATATTCAAACGCAAGAAAATGTAGCTTAATTGTCATCTGTGAGTCTGATGACGTCTATCGATCGAAACAAAACAAATGTGAACTTCATAATTACAAAAATCAGGCACTGAGAGCGAAACAACAACTGAATCAATCTTATTAATGTCTTCTTCAGCAGGATCTTTCCTGATAAAAGAGTGGACAAACACTCATGATAGCAAAACAAAAGAGGGTAGCAACAGTTTCATAACAGCTACATGTTTGTCACTTTGTGGGAGGAATTGTTCTGATATTATTGCTTTACGCCCGGCTGCTTGTTTAGGTCAAAAAAGTCGGAACTCATTAAATCATGCTCGTGACTTCAGAGAAATGTGTATTCTTAAAAGCATTATCGCAAGTAACGTTGCCTAAGAGAAACATTTCACAGTCCAGTTCAAATGAGTTTTATACTAGTGGTTTTAACCGGAGGCCATTTGAAACAGATCTTTCAGAAAGAATGATCAACATAGGTCCAAAAGCTTTTTTTTGTCAGTAAAGATCTTATCGCTAGCGAACTGCATCAACCGTAATTTACATTTTCCTCCCTAATTTCACTCTCTCTTATATTCTAATACCAGCGTAGCGTGTCCCGTCCGTCAGGTTGTGAATTAGCGGCAGAATTAATTAATGATGTTCGCTATGGTGAAAAGACAGGGTCAGGTGGATCATTCTTAGTGTTTACGAAACAACGAAAACTCAAGATGACTTACTGGCGGACCAGTCAATTTTGAAAGGTTCCGAAGTTTCTCGATTAAACGACGTGCACAGTTTTCACAGAGGTAAACCGGCCTGATATTTTTAACTTTGCGACTTTGTGACGTATTAGCGACAATGATATCTCTGCAGAGCTGAGGCTCTTGATTGGTAATCAGGCAAGGATGGTAATAGAACGGCAAATCTGTAAACCACTTATCGCACGCGATAAAAAAAGAAAATGTAAATTCTTCTCCTAGGAGATAACTTTGTCGTCCAAAGAGCTGTAACTAATTGCTTCTATATTGATGTTCTTATTAAGAATGTGTGAATTTGGACTTGTTCGTCATGTCAGTTGCCAGAGTCTGCCATTGATTCTTCAATTATCGCTTTTGATTTTACCTTATGCAGGTCGAAATGAACGCCACGAATGACTCTGCAAGGAATATCACTGGTAAATTACACACCAAATGCGCAATTGAAAGCGCAAGCAACACCACTAAAACTCTGGTGATCATGGGGTTTGTCTTAGTGCTCTTCTCTTCTCTTTTTGGCAATTCTCTTTTGATTCGAGTTGTATACGGTGACAAAGAATCGAGGCGGAAATTTCCTTTCAACTTTTTAATAATCAACATGGCGATTGCAGATATCATGAATGCTTCATCGGCTTCTCTAGTGTTTATGTCGTTTTTGACGGTTGGACGACTCTGGATTTCGGGCATCGTTGGACAGCTAACCTGCAAGATAACATACTTTGCTGTGGGGTTCTCCGTAGCAGCCTCCATTTTGACCGTTGTCGTGATGGGATTAGACCGTTTCATGGCAGCACACGCGACTATAAGGCCACTGTCGAAGAAAGGTATTAAATACGCCATGGCGCTGATCTGGATTCTAGCGGGACTATTTTGTATCCCGTATTTGTACATTTTTAGAATTGAACAAGGCACAGATGGAAAATGTCATTGCATTAGGAAATGGAGTAAAAACCCACAGAAGCACCTTATGATCTTGGGGATCGAAGAGATGGCAAAGTTTGTCGTCTTTTACCTCCTTCCCTTAATTCTTATGGTATTTTGTTATACTATTATTACATACAGAATTTATCGACGAAGTGAGCTGCCTGTGGGGAAAAATACTCGTTCAAAAATTGTTCAGCAGAACCAACGTGTTGTACGCATGATCATTGCAATAGTTGCAATTTTTGCAGTCTGCTGGTTTCCTGTCCATGTCAACCATTTGCTAAGATCATTCGACCCAGAAAGTTATTGTCGTCTCCCTGCCTTCCTTCCATTGTCTTTCTTTTGGTTGGCTCATGTCAACTGCGCCATAAATCCTTGGGTATGGTTTATGTATAGTCGGCACTTTCGAGAATTACTAAGAAAGGCAACTATTCAATGTATTGCAAATTTCTGGAACGATAGAAGTGAACAAATACCGCTGACAAAACGAACGACGATAAAGCAGTTAGAAAATCTGGGGGCCGCCGAAAATGGTGGTACATGGTAAAACTTGTGCTGTGCATATATATCTGATTGTAATAGCACGTTTTTCTTTTGCATCGTTTTTTCTTTTGCCTGAGCAAACAGCTAGAGCCGTTTGTAGGTCGCTGAAAAGCCCAAATGAATTGACAATTCGTTTTATTCGACGCTAATGCGACATATGAAACGTTTCGAAGTTTTGGAAGACTATTCCTACGCTGTTCTCTCTTAGTGCTACACATGAATAACACGTATTCATGAGCACCACCGAAATTAAATGAATAATTAATTAATCTCATTGGTGCGTAAAATGTGGTTGCGATGAACACAGTGCTGACATAAAAGAGTAACTTAGATTTCAATTGAAAAGTTAATCTGACCTCGAAGCGTCGTGATATCAAATTCTTGTCTTAGAAGAAGAAAAGTCAAAATTTGAGTTTAAAATGATTGTATTTATTTGATCAGTAAAAAGATAACTGATGAAAGGCCAGCCAGATCCAGCATCAGCCGCCTTAAAGGAAGCGCCGTCCGTTTTTTTTAGTCAATATTCGAACAATTTATGATGATTTTATGAGATAACCTTATTAAGGGGTGAGCCTTCACTTGAACCTCAAAAATATGTCAAGAAGAAAGTAAAGACAATAATGCCAGGCGTACCCGTGGTTTTCATGGAATCGCGACTATTTCTAATTTTGTCGCAATCTCTTTCTTTTTTTGGGTAAAGAACTTAATAGGATGCAGGAAGGAATGAATATCCTTCCGGTATTTTAATTGATGGCATGTTTAGTTCTTGGTCTTACTATAGATGATAAAATGTTACCGTGATTTTGCTGACAAGTTGGGTTTATGGAAATTACCCCCGCTGAAAGCATTCAGATATAGTCTGATTCCAATTTCCACAGCGATATTGAACAGAAAAGAATGAAACAAATTAAATTTTGTTCGCTTACTAATGCCGAGCGAAATTCCAATTTTACAATCATCTGTTTTTATTTTCATATATTGGAAAGAAACACCTCTTAATTAATAATTTATAACTAAATTGAAAGGTTTCGCTGGAACCGAGACCTCAGATGAGGAAGGGTGAAATCTAAATTTTATATTAGATCTTTGCGACAACTTTTCTCGCAGAGTTCTAACACTGATGATAACATGTTGGCTTTACTTAATTACCGACGTCAGCCTGTTTTCATTTTTTAAAAAGTGCAGATGTATCAGGGAATACTCGTGTATTAAAATAATGTAGTGGTAGTGAACCTTGCCTTTCGACACTTGCACATAAAGCCTGGAGATGATTCGTGCAACAATGAAATATAGCATTTGGGCGGGATATTAATTTGTAAATAACGGCATTATTATTGTATTTCGCTTTGTTTAGCTTTAGCGTGAAGTTTGAATTCTCCGTTTGATATATCTATGCACTTTGAAAGAGATTATTAATTGTAAATAAAACCCTTTCCAATTTTGTATCGCCACTTTCTTTGACACCAAAAAATCATATCAAACACGTATTTCTGCTTGTCCTGTTTATCGCACACTCGATTCCTCATCTGTTCAAGCGGTTAAGAAAATGAGTAATGCTTGATCTCCCACGGTCGATCTATCTTACCCAACGATTTTACAGTTTGAGGTAATATCTGACAGCTCTAAAATAATTTATAACTCAAAGTGAAAAATCCGAAGCTAGTTATCATAAGGGCTTACGTAAAATACGAGTTAATTTTAGGTACTCTTTGTCCCTGACATTTTTTGTTCTACAAATTTTTTATACTTAAGTTTACTTAGTTTTGTTTTTAGCTCTCAAAGTTTGAAGATTATTGTTAAAAACACTTAACTAGAAGTTTTTCATCTTTGCACATGACAGAGACGAAAGAAAAAGGAAAATCATGCTCTCTGGGGAAGGGAATGTTGTGCACTCAGGTCATTGCAAGAATCACGCTCCTCTAAATTGCGACCGGCTTTAGGGAAAATTTGGCTCTACATTATGATCCCATAATGATGACCTCCTCGTCGTTTTATCGACAAAATCATTTGTAGTGGATTTGTTTTTGGATAGATTCGCGTGACACAAGAGCGTTTTTATTATGTTTGCTTGAATAACTACTTCCAGGGACAAGCTTTTATCAATAAGGAAACGATATTCCCCAGCTTCTTTTCCACCGTTTGAAACTGATCTCACAAAGAGTACTGATCGAATATTTTTTGGCAGTGGTCGGCATTCATCCTAATAGCTCTTTGCAATTATCTTATTTACGTGGAAATGCTATTAATCGGTGCATTGTAAACAACGCTGTTGGTCGGTACATTCTCTCCCTAAACCAGCCGTAATGGTAAATAATGGTCTTAAAAATCACATAATTAGATAAGCACCTTAGCAGTTAATGAAACATCAGTTTCCCCTTTCGCAGTCACACTGTCTGATAACTTAAAAAAATGCTTTTATTCTATAACATTGACAGAAAATGTAAAAGAAAAATATTCTACGCGACGGCCACACAGGTTAATAAATCGGCCTCAGGGGTTTTGCAGCGAGTCACACAATAAACGCAAACGTTATCGATCGAGCTGTTGGTTTTAGTGTGCGGTAGATATTCTTGCGAAAAAAAGTTTTCATTGGTGTAAAAGCTGACAATCAAGTTTCTGGTTGAAACACCAAGATAACCTAGATGTAAATTTCGAGATCGTCGACCACGCTGCTCTCCCAAGGTTACCGGCCGACCGTGACCACGGCTGATAAACGTGACAGATTCTGGGTAATGCTGCTTTTACAACTCTACGAGAGAATGGGCAACGGTAACAAGGACGTCAAAAGTTGGTATAGGTAAAGCTGGTATAGGCACTCGTAAAGGGTAAAACAATCATGGTATATACAGTTGAACCTGTATTAAGCCGTCACCCACGGGAAAAGGTGGGGTGACCACTTAAAACGAGTTCCACAAATTAGGAGTATTCGAATGAAATGATATACAACGCCGCTTTATACCAGGTTGACCCATTAATGTGCCGAATCTTGCTCAAATATATTTCTTACTTTGATTATGGGAGAGAATATGGATTAAAAATTACTTGAAAGGTTATTCTTTCTTTTTCTTTTTTTCTTTTTTTTTTTTGTTTTAACTCCGTTGACAACGGGAAAATTATATTTTAACCTTAAAAGCACTTAAAAATTTACGCTCTATGAGCATCAAAGATCCAAGCCATTGTTAGGTCAGGTATTACCTACAGTGAAAGGGTGAAAGAATTGCCATTGTCTCGAGTAATAGAAAAAGTTGTCATCTTTTCCTCTTTCATATTTCAAAGATGTTATGAATGGCGAAACATTCCACACAACCCTAACTGGTCTATTAATTGTCGCCATTAGATTAACATCTCAACAACAAGCAACTCCTCAGATGCAACTCGAAAATCGAAAACTTTCAACGAGCAAGGTAACTAGCAATGTATCTTACGCCATCAATAAATCAGGTCGGTGATTTCAACCTGATCCCTATCTTAGCGTAAGAGCATCAAGATGACCTAATCCAGTCGCAGAGTTCAAATTTGTTGCCTTAGGCTTCGGGATTATTAGATTTAGGATCAGACTGAGTGAAATTATTGACCTCAAATACTGGATATTCTGGGCCCAGTTGTTCCACAGCTGATTAGTGCTAACCCAAGGTTAAAGTTTATTCTCCGTTTCTTTAATTCCTTTGTGCAATAGCCAGTTTGGAGTAATTTTCTCGATTCTCTTTAGAGCATGCAGTCATAACATTATAGACAATAAAAAATTACGGTAGATCTTTTTTTAAGCTTTCAGATCTGAAATGAAATTTCACACTAATCTTGGGTTATCGATGTTAGCCCAGCTTTGAACGACCCGGCCCTGAAATGTAACGCGAAAAAAAATGCTAAAATAAGACGAACACGAACCGACCAACAAACTGGTAAGAAAGAAGTGTTCCGTTGATTTACTAAATAGCACCTTGGTTCTCATATCAATGTGCCCGCTATTTTTAACTTGCTATTCAGTCCGCATGCGCACCATCAGTACTCATGCCACTGTTGAAACAGGGAAAAGCATATCTGGGCTTCGGAGCATGGTCAATTTACAAATGGTTCGAAATTAAACAGCTCTCTATTATTTTAATGGAGTTGTTTAATACAATCTAGCTCTATATATTCAAGTGTTTTATTTCTTTAGACTAGTAGTCGCAAAATGTCAACCTAGCGACACTTAACTTTTTCGATGTATTTACTTGTATCCCTAAAAATCACCTGTTATTTAAAGCACTCTTCTAATGTCAAAAGTAAACAGTACTTTATGCTAGTTAATTGAACTAATGTTTGAATAAGATGCAGAGTACCCCTTTGATTAGCCAATCTTATTTCTGCCTTTAGCTGTCGATGATTATTCTTTAAGTTGGTTTATATGACCCAGCCTTTTTGTATACATTCTCAAAATGTTACACCTGGTCCACCTAAGGCACTGAATACTTGCAACACAAAGTCCAATCCTTCAAGAAACTACAACTAGATACTTCTAATCCTACTGTCCTTCAAACCCAGGATTGAATGATCAGGTTTCGAATTCATCTTAATAATTACAGCACTTCAGACATTTCACCGTTTTACTATGTCCTGATTTTGATGATATTTACTTCAGACACTTGTCATTCTGTCCATTACAACCATTATGGAGCGACGATTTGTCTTGCCGTCGTCAGAGCAGGAATTAGATGATTTAGAGTTGTCGTTCCGTTGTATCAGTTTGCCATAGGCATAAATCTCTTTAAGAGATCGCGAATGTGAGATAGGCGGAGTATGGGGATGGCTTTCCTCATTATTATTTCCGGTTATGAAAGAGCTCTTAGTTGGTGTAAAGGGCGATGAAGGCCTTCTGTCTGATCTTCCCCGTACAATGGAAGTCTTCAAGTTGATACTGTTGAACGACTGGATGTGCAAGGCATGTAGAAACGCTCGGCGGAAGGTCTTATTGAAAATCACGTAAAGTACTGGATTGATGGCGCTATTGGCATGTCCAAGCCAGAACGACAGCAAAATCAGATACCTTGACATGCACGTATATGTCTCGAGTTCAAAGTGTATGTAATAGTGTATGATGTGCATAGGGAGCCAACACACCGCAAAGGCAAGTGTTACTGTTATCAGCATCTTTACCACTCGTTTCTTGGAGCTATTAATATCTGAGTCGCCTCCGCTTGCAATTCTTTCGCTCCATAATTTATGAATAATCAAGGAGTACAGAATTGCCATCAGAATTAAGGGAAACGCGTACAGCGCCGCAAAGGCAACAACATTAAAGTATTTGTCGAAGTCATCAGGCATTGTCTGCCAGTTGGGGTAACAGTAATAGTTTTCGTCTCCCATGTTTTTTCGTGGTTGGTCGACCGTGAACACTTTAAGATAATGTCCCATGATGGCAATCGATATAATCCAGATAATAGCTAAAGAGGCTTTTGAAGTTCTCAGGTTAAGACAAGTTTTCCAAACAAACACGATGGTCAGAAATCTATCCAATGTGATAACCATAAGTGTGATCACTGACGCTGCGATCGACGTCGTTAAAGAAAAATGGATCGTCTTGCAGAGAATCTTGCCAAAGATTCCTCCAAACCATTGAAGTCCCACAAAGAGATAGGATACAGACCAAGGTATGACGAAGATCGTTACCAGAAGGTCAGCAACTGCCATATTGACAATTAGAAGGTTCAACACGTTCCTCATGCTCTGTCTTTTGAATACGACATACAGAACGAGCGAGTTTCCCAAAAGAGCGATGGGAAAGATGATTGCATACAGTAGGGTTAAGGTTGCTTGTAATGACACTGTAGAATCCCCCTGCCCTCTGCCTTCGCACATTGCCATAGCGGTGTCGTTGCCTGCGATAAAACCAACATAAAAACGAATGAGAAAACAACTTTAAAGCTTTTGAAAAGAATCAAGGTTGATTTGCTAACCAAACATCTAATTGAGAATTGTCCATTGTTCTTACGACACTTTACTTGCAGTACTAAAATTAATTGGATGGTATTGGCGGCTACGTGTGAACCGGTTGGGTTTTATTCGGCGAGATTACGCGCGTTTTTGTTCAGTAGGGAATATTGCCGTAACTCATGAACTTGTAGTTCTACAGCAAAATGACTGCTTATTCGAGCATCATATCGTAATGAATTTGAAAGGCGTGAAGGACTGTTGATCGCATTGTTTTCGATGAATTTCAAGATTCTTGTTCAGCTATTTGCTACCAATGTCTCTAACCAGAACCAGACGGCTCTCGTTCTGCCTGCCGGACGCATCAGTTTAGGGTATTAATTTTATATATGAGTCTGGACTCTTTGATATACTGCATGATCCCGGTACCCATTCTGCATAAAAAATTCCCTCTATCAAGTTTTCCACATTCATCAAGAATGCGAGAGCGCCAGTACATATATATTTGTGTGACTGAGCAAACGGTAACGCCATACAAATAGAGTGCCACGCCAGAAGTCACGACATGTCATACATATAGAGCTTACTTTAATGTGACGCCGTCACATCGTGCCTACATACATTGTATATAGACTAAGCATGTAGGCACGCCATTACTGAGATAGAGAACTAGACAGGGCTAAGCGCACTGTCATGAAGTTATATCCATAGCCGGATGGCTCAGCGCGATATTACGCAAAGCGCCGTAAAGCTTACAGAATTTGTCATCTTTGTCTTTGTCAGGTCTTTTCAATTATCTGCGAAAAGTGTGAATTTTGGATTGGAAAAGATGAATGATAAGATTTTTTTCATATGATAATTCAAAGTCTCAAGTTTTTTATTCAAGATGAGCCTAATAGAAGGTTTTGCTGACACCAGTAAATATGAAAAAAAAAATACATCTTTGGATAAATTATGATAGCTGCCCATAATTTCAATTATTATGTTTTTTTCCCTATTTTTTTCCCTATTTTTTCCCTATTTTTCCCTTTTGTCAGTTTGTATAGTTCAGCACCCAGGTAAGCCCAACAACTTTCTGAGAAGATCATATGTTTTTTAAATCAGTTTGGAATCATCATTTACGACTAGCAACGAGTCGGTGCTATTGGGTTTGTGGTCACTCGCAGTGAACGACGACAACACGAGAGTTATTTTTCATCATAGACCACAATTCACTTCAGTTTCCTTGATGTTACTGTTACCATGCTGCTTTAGGGTAAAAAAGTTACATGACGTGCGCCCTTGACTGGAGTGCAATTTTCGGAAAACCTTTGAAGTCCACACATGTTGTCGTAAAAAACCCAAAATACAAAGGTGTTGATGGATCGACATTTAAATCGACCTTTAATTTTGCTTACTTGTCAGTTATCTGGTGGAGACAGCCAATCGATTGCTGCGTCTATTTTCTTGCACGTAGTGGTGAAAAAATGATTAAGATCTTTGTTCTAGGCCTACCTCCTGCAGACCATCACGTATTTCCGTGTCAGGATTTGTTGAAAACTTCCTTTAGCGGGGCAGGATATATTTTGATATGTTGTGCAACTCAAACAAGGGTATTGCCTAATTCGACACGACCGAAGCGTCATATGTTACCTGAGAATCGATGCTGTGGGTATTTTTGAACAAATAAAATGAACGTGAGAGTATGCACGTAGCCGTCCATATTAACATTTGTTACGAATCAATCGCCATGTTACCTTACTTATGATGGATATTGTATTTTGAAAACAGAAATTGAAGATCAACACTTTATAAAGTTTTTTTTTCTGATTGACTGTTCACCCTCTAAGGTTAGAATTCACACCAAATATCCTAAAAGATATTAGTTCAGGTGACCAAACGCTCGAAACTGAGAAGATTTGTTAGTCAGACAAGCGCAAAAGTCTACTTTGTGACAAATAATGTTCAATTTAGCTGAACATGTAATTAAGACTGGCGAGATTTTCTTTTCTGAAAATGTCTCGGAAGAGTGAATAAAGTAAAAACTTGGTACATTAGAGTATATTCCAGAGACACAAAAAAGGTACATGCCTACGATTGACAATGATGCCCCTGCATCCTTACACCGTGAGGATTTAAAATGTTGTTTCCGTTTGGAATGAACAGAAGTTAACGTTCAAATTTCAAACATTCTCTCCCTTGCTTGTTCCTAAAAGTAAACAGGCTTGAGGAAAACAAGTTGGATCCTGTGGATTACTTTGCGACACCAAAACTATCGAACTACATTGTATGACAAAAATTTAGACGATACTTTTTAGATGTAAAAGGTGACTTCTCTATGGGTCCAATAACAGTAGATTTAAAAACTTTTTGTATTTCATTTCTTCACGTATAAAAACGCCTACTTCTAAACCATCTTCAGGAAAAATATCTCCGTGGTGTGAGAATAATGCCATATTTCATAACCACTTTTCAAACAAGAATGACTTCTACCTAAACGACGTATTTCCCCACACTTCGTTAAGATGTATGTAATAATTATGCATTATAACCTTGATCTAAAAAATAGCGATAACGTTATACTCTTTCGTAAAGGTTCTAACCTGTCATACTATGTCACTTTAAGGATGTCGACGAAAGATAAGAACTGAAACAGAGTAGTTCTGACGAAAGGTGATACCCTATTGAGCTATATTCGTGACTTGAGGAAACGTGCTAATTATAATTCACACGCGACCATTTGAAAAAATTTAACGATTGGGTGTCCTTAATTTTTAATTACCACCTTGGCCTAAATAAAATGGTGAAGAAATACTCACTTCAATACCGCCGCATAGCCTTTTCCCTCGGCAGAAATTTTCCCCCCTAAAATTCTCAGTACGTTTCCACGTAGAGTTCGTCCGATATTATCAGTTTAAGAGATGTCTAAAGTTACATTTGACATTCAATTCGTACTTGAACTAAAGAATGTTACAAGTTGGCACTGAGGTCGTTTCAGTTTCTATCGTCATGTTAAAGAGAAATATTTTAAGAAACAACAAAAAACTTGCCCCGAATCAAGTGAACTCGTGTGTATGTGCAACGAGCAAATGTTGTAAGAATTTCACTCCTAGTTCACTTACCCACTAAAGATAATTACTTTACTAATGTAAGAGTGGTCACTGGCGTTCGACGACAATCAATTCATTTGCTTGAGCACTCTACTGCTTCACTCTCATCATCACAGCCTATTCGTCACAATTTGATAAATCACAGCTTGTGTATTAATATCGCACACATAATAGGGTAAAGAAAAGACAAATAGGAATCGTCAAACATGACATGTACAACAGATGGTTCTAACTTTATGTTGTTTTGATTGAGGACGATCTTTCCTCTCAATTTTGGCGGTCGTTAGAATACGGCACCAATGATAGTGTTTTAACCACCTGTGTTTAGGCATGATTAGAATAAAATCTGTCGTCCTTTACTTTCGGCATACGACAAAAGCTTATTTTCTTTCTTCCTTAAACGCCATAGACGTAAATTGAAAAAAGCATGCATGTTAACTAAACCTTCTGAAGCTAATTATAACCCACTGGATAATTAATATTGCTATGCTGAACCTTCAATAAGCAAAATATGACCCATATCTTCAGGCTAGGCAATCCATATCCCTGAATACAAACTCGTATTGACTAAATAAGAAAATTCCAGAGGTAATTTTTGCTCTTATACTTTCTTTTTGGGATTTATCGTCAACTGTTATAACTGCATGATATATTAACTCTTTCTGCGATCTTATCCCGAGGGTTTAATGTTTGGAATTTTTAAATCATTTGCTACAATCACGATCTTCCTTATCAACGCAACGGTCGCATTGAATGAGTAAGACTGATGATTAATTGTGGATTGCTAGTATCAGCTGAAGCTGAGAAACGGCTCATCAAGTGAAGATTATCAGCATGATAAACTATAGAACTGTCTTCTCATCATTCACAGAATGCACACATTTCACGCTTAATTGAAAATCATGAGCATTACAGCTATCGATATCATGTTCATAATTTCTACCTCTATTGTAATGTAGAGTTCAGCATTTTTGTGTAAGAAAGTGAATAATTTTCTCTGAACCTCGTTATTAAACCTTTCAGGCTAAGCCAAGCTACCCCGCGGTGCTCATCGAGTCTCTTTTTAATTTCTTATACTTTAAAGTTCTTGAAAAGAAAATAGAAAACAGACAGGAGAAGATTAATGGCTGCAGTAATAGTTATCATTAGCACCAAAATTATGAGTAAATAAAACAAAACGCACAAAGGGACTTTTTAGGTTCTTAGCAAGCGGGATTTCATTACACTTTGAAGTTTTCTAGCGGCCGAAACGACCTCTGACCCACTTAGTATTCATGCTTACGAAAGACAATTCGATCCCCCTGCAGCACAACACGCCGTTGCGTTTGCTCATTTGTCACTATTTTATCTCTGTAGCTGGTAAGTAATCGGCGTGGATAAATGTGAATGATATTACATTTATCAGCCTGAGGCTATTCTGTGATGTCCATTTGGTCAGTCCTGGTTTCAATATTGCAAACGTCATGCACGCGAACTTATCGACGAAAGCTTTGACAGCAATACTCGCTTCATCATACATATTTGTTGAGATAATTAGAGAATCTAGTAAGCTTTATTACTTTATAAAGTTGGGACTTATCCCTACTGATGCAAAATGGGGGAATCAATGGCCCCATGCTGAAAGTAATCAGTCTTCACGACCAATTCGTACCAGTCTATATCACTCTGAAAATATCTTGACATTGTCGTTGTGACAAACTTAAAATCGGCCAGTTCAGCAAGCCGAATCTCATGAGTACAAAGTTTGACATTTCAAAGATTTGCAGCTCCCATCGAAGACTTAAATAGATGTAAAGAATGAACGCAATTTCAGTTCCGTAAAGTTCTTTTGGCAGCTATTGTAAGCCTTTAATGAGATGAAATATAGCATACTTTAAGACATCGATCATTCACTGGTCATACTTTCGATTGCTGAGATTGAGCAGTCATTCTGTTTCTTATGCATGCATCGTCTGAAACAAGTCTAAGTTACATCAGCTACTTTAGTGTTTTAATGTCGCTGGCAAAAGAAGGGAGTTTTTATGTGAAGTAAAACGAAATGCCCGCTTGCACATGTCAGTTGGTCATAGTAAAAGATTCTCAGTTAAAGTTTCGTCACGCTAAGCAAGTTTAATCGGATTTCATCTAAAAATGACAAATGTAGCTTCTTAAAAAGGTAAAAGCTTCCTTACCTTCATTTTCTAACGAGGAATTTGTCATTTTCTGGGAATATTGGTGCTGTCGAGGTTCTTCCTTTCTTTAACTCCCTTTTCTTCTAGCTTCACTTTAGTACGTAGGTCCTAACTCTGCAAAAAAAAGAGCAATTTTTTATTATTAAATGTTTCGAGTCCATAATGAATCACCCAAAAATAGCGTACATACTCTGCGATCTAGTGGCTATCGGTGCGGCTAAGATGGACGAGCATATCCATGGTTTATTGACTTTCAATTATTCTGGAATTAAATGATTTTTTTTGTTTGCAAAAACCACCAAAGCCATTAGGATTTCGGCCACTACAAAAGAATTCACAGGGAGTGAAAAGGAGTCTTCTGTTATGGTGACGATATTTTTCAAAAGGTTTAGCGAGCAATTAAACTTGTTTACCAGTGACTACAAAGGGAAACTACCTCAAGAGAATAACTTCATGAGATTTTCATTATGAAAATATTCTTCGACAATCTCTTCATAAATATAATCTGTACGATGTATACACAGATTTCAGAAAGGTTTCCGGCACAAGAGACGAAATCTGCATGCTCCATTTTCAATAGAGGGATCAAAGGATTACAATACCAGTTCCTTTAGGCAGTCGTGCTAATGATTAAAAAGCGCATGTCAAAAATTGATCGATCGATCAACGTCAGATATAGTTTGTTTCTAAATGCATTACTTGTGCCAAATATTTGTCGATAATTATCCTACTAAATAGTCCAAGGACGGGGCTTTGTTTCGTATAGCACTTTCAGCTTATGTGCCATTGCTTGAAACAACAACAGCAGCAAAAAGAGAAAATGTCATTTCGCTAATTAATTCACTGACTTTTTTAATCACGAACCTCTCTTTGTAAATGTAAATAATTGAAGCAAGTGATGGTAAAGATTCATAGCTCTATTTCAAAATTTCATTCTTCACTGTACTAAATGATATATTAAATAACCATTTAATTGATATCTGCAACTAATCTTGTTATAGGATATTACTAGTCTTTGTCATTGAGGGGTTTTAAACAATGCTGCATACATTTCTAGTCCCAACTGCGTATCATTAGTTAGGACGATTTACACTGTTCCTATTGAACCAATAGCCCTCTTATCCACACTTGTATTTTCTATATCAAGAGATTATTGAAACACCTGAACCGCCATTTCCCTCCCGCCCCAGAAACATGAAAATCATACTGTGCAATAAACATATAGTACTGATCCGTGTTACACTATAACCCGTTTAGAAACTATGAATTTCCATTCGGCTATGACTGAGGCGCTTTTACAGGTATCTGTTTCAAGAATCTTTAAAATGAACTGACCTACAACCAAAACAAATGTTTTTTATGATCTGCGCATTTTAGGTTAAGTTCCAGTAATCACAGTAACACGATGTAAACAACACTTGTGGTGCTTTTGTTTCAACAGTTATTCCTATACTCGCCGACCTATAATATACCTTGAAACTTTAGCCCTCCAATGTTCAAGTAAATGTAATTAACCTGAGGTCAGAAAATATTCACATGGAGGGCATTAGTTTGTTTTTTCATTTGTGACCCATTTAGCTCATCATGCGGCGGCTATAGCAATTACGACGGTATTTTAACATATAAGCGGTTCCGATTGACAAGTAATGTATTATGAATAAAATGTCATGATATGTATCTCAAACAAGTCCGCCACATCCGCTTTTTAAGCAATCAAGAAATAACAAAAATCGGATCACAAAATAAGACTCCAAACAGTCGAGTCATTCGCAAATTTGATAGAGGCAGTGATGAAATGCAAGGAAAACGTATAACACACAGTAAACTTCAGCGATATAAATTTCCAGAGCATTGACCATTAAGTTATCACTTACTTTTGCTTTTGAGTGGAAGATTGATAAGGTTGCTAAACAGCTCAATAATTTTCGTCTTTTAAGTGTGATATGCCTTATTACTATGCCTGCTGTTCGATCTCTTGACGAACGAGCCACTTGTCACTTCCAATTATACGATCTGCGCTTATTCAGAGCCCTCTCATTCCTTAAAGTCAGTGTCAGGAAAGTATTTTCCTCGGCCTAAATGCACTAAACGATACGCATAACAAGGTAACCATGAAACATCTAACCTTCCACGTGTGCCCCTGCGACCAACAACCGAAAACAATAGCAAGAATACTCCCAGTTGTCTCCTCGTGGCGTCAGTTAGACCATTCCCTGGGATGAGGTTACCGAATACCAAGGGGCAGAGCCTCTTGAAAATAAGTGGATTTGCTCCACAAACTGTCTTGTATTCACACCACTCAGTTATCAACCAGTTTACCCTATGTTGTCTCTGATAGGGATTAAATCGTGTCCCGCGAGGACTGTGCTTCTTTCATAACATAAGAGGCTGACTAGGCTTGCTTGATTTCGCCGCAGTACTGAATCGTGCTCAGATGAGCGGATAAAGTTGCTTTATGAGTGACTATACGTTTGGTTGCGTGCTTTTTAAAAAGGCATATCGTTTCAATCATTCAGATGAAACAGGGTAACAATTTCGGATTCCGGGCAAAAATTTCTGTATATGTCCGGAAACACCACAAGCACGTAGCTCTTAAGTAAGATTGGGTCACCCAATGTGACCTGCAGTGTCAATTCTGATCCGAGGGTATGATTTATAGCCTCAGGCGTAGGGTTTCTCAGGTAAACGATTTCAGTTGATGTTTGTTTTAATGATTTTGTTTCCATCAGAACGTTCTAACTAACCAAACAGTATTGACTAAGAGAGAAGTTTAGGGTTCTTGAGTACGACCTTTGTCGACAGAATATGCTTCGATATCAAAATGCCAATATAAAATAAGTACCTGAAAAGCCCCCTTGGCTCTCGACCGTAAAGGTGGAAAACGTTTTAAGGTGTTAAAACCTTTCAGTTCACCGCTGCTTGTGATTGTCATATGCAATTTGTCGAGGAAGAACACACTTGATGAACATTACAATTAATTTACAACAATTAATGTACAACAATTAATGTACAACAAGCAATTGGTACTCAAAGGATTTATCTACGGATAGCTTATCGTAGGCTAATAATGTTGAATATTATCACACGTGCGAGACATTGAGTGTTTACGTGACGACATCATCGGACATCGTGACTCATTACCTTCGTGATCTTTCTAACAAGAAATGCATATTTAGCTATTGAATAAGCAGATCGTCTTCCTCACTTGGAAAGCATAACACACAAATGCAAAGCCAAAGAATAAACCATGTTTTTGTTTAGCGGTCTCAGCAATGGTAAGAGGCTCAGGATCCCTAATTAGAAACAACAGAGCACAGGCAGGTATGTTAAGTGTTGCCGAAAAGGCACCTGCAATTCAGAGATTACGTCCTAAAATACTCAGATAAATTCAAATCACACATGGTAAGAAGAATTTCTGCATAGAAAATTACGTGTTCACTGAAATAAGTCTCAATAATCTAAAACAGAAAAGAATGATACGGGAAAGTATCATCAGTTGTTGGTCTGGCACTGCGTTTTCAAGTGGGGTGTGTGTGTGTGTATGTTTGTGGGGAGGGGGGGGGCTTGTTAACTCCCATTGGAGTTAAAAAGGAAACTAAACTAAGCAGCTACTTTAACAAATGGTATGGGAATACCCGGAATTCTAAAACAAATTCTGTTTGCCTCATCCAGACTTTCTTTCAAAAGCCCTCGGCGACTGCGGGCGCTAGCCATGTCACTCTGACGTCATAATGCCTACTGACATAAGACTCCAAAAGCTCAGGGCGAGCTGCCTCAGTTTTTTTACGTGATCTTTTTTTGTAGTTAAACCAACGGAAATGAGCTTGCACTCTTCCTCAATTTTTATCCAAACAGTTGGTCGCACGTGCCAGAACTATCAAAACAGAGGTAATCACGTAGGTAGCCATGAACTGATTCATGCATTTGCAGTCGAACTTTTCTTGAAGTTGAGCAAAACCAAACGAAATTTGAATGACGTACGTTAATTCTTTTTCTCGCGGCACTCGCATTTGGTCGTCTTAGCTTTAAAAAAAAGAGGGTGCTTTGTTCTTTTAAAACCTTTCAAATTGAATTTAGGAGATATAAAAGAACTTAAATTGACGCGCGAATCACTGAATTATCAACTATCATGGTTTCGCCTTTGTACTAAGCGTGAAGCTAACCATAATCTTGTACAATGTACGTGATAATCGTATTAAAGAATAACACACGAATGCGTGATCTTAACAGCCCTCTTTTAGGAACTATTTACTTCGGGTTATCGTTTTGCGTCTCCAAGGTGAATTCCTATCGTTCCATGCTATGGCCATTCACGCATATCAAGCTTTTTTCATTTTGTACCTCACGAAATGCAAAATTCCAGTTTCTAGCGTTCCTGAATAAACAATTCAAGTATGTGGGTTGGACGTCCTAAGTTGATTGCTGAGCTGTGAAAACAAGATTTCTGTTGAAGGCGGTACTTCCTCATCCTACCAGAGGAATAATATTGTCCTTGTAATGCAAATTTTGATGTATTAGGATCAAACCGCCATGCGAAACTAGACCGGAGATGCAGATTTAGTAAGGAAGTAATATCAATTGGTTGGGCACTTAATCGATAAAAGAGGTTTTCCTGTAAAATTTGGGCGCCAATTTGGCCTCACCGCTTTGAACGTTCAGCATCTTGAGATTGTCTGAATACATCAACTACTGACTTGCAGATTTTTTTTTAAAACTTTTATGCTTTCTTCCCAAGCGAAGGCGAAAGAGAAAATGCACCGCAAAAATGACATGATGGAATGACCCAAACGTGTTTACAGTTCTACCTCCAGTTTTCATTTGTCGCGTATTTCTAGGAAACTCCACGTGGGTAACGCTAGGAGAATAAGCTCTTACAACTGACGGTGGATATTTCCGACATTTACCGCATGCAAAGAAAAGTAAAAAAATTCAGATGATTAGGTGCGACTTGTGACTCTGCGTCTTTTTATGAGCATAGCTGCCATACAAACTGGCTTTGATTTGTTATCTGACCTACCAAAGTAGGGTTTCTAATGTATTCGTTCCTGTCACCCGCCTTATCTTTGAGGTAAATCTTTATTTTTGCGTCTAAAACTGACCTGATTTAAACAAAATAGCGTGACCTGGTACAAGTGGCGGATTTATATTTTTGATTAGGATCTTTGAATAGCTTATCAAGTAATTCCGACGATGAGAAGTAATCGGCAACTTAATGAATACAGACATATTTTTAACCAGTGTTGATTAAAAGATAAGTATATATATAAACCGGGATTTTTCTTTACTAGAAGGAGCTTCGACGTACTTGTTTCATAAAGTACGCGTCAATTCGAAAATACTTTTACCACGGTCTGGGTTGATATTAATCCCCACATCATCCAGAATACGCAGCCACATCCGGAACACTTAATTACGCTTAAACCTATGAGCATTTTGTGATTTTGAGAGCTTAATTTTCTTCATAACTTGAACTGAAATAAAGATATTTTTCCATCGGCAGAAAAACTTTGAAAAATCGTTTTGAGTCACATAAGGCTCAAATTATTCGGTGCCAGTTACTTGTATGTACCTGTGCGAGGGCCTGTACGGTGGGCTTTCAGTCTTGAATTTATAAACATGCTCAGTCCTTCACTGATGTCATGACAATGAACTTCAAGTTCTGTAGCTAACTATAATCACTTCACCGAGTAGATTTCATCTGTCTTTAAATTATAGATGCTATACAAATGTACGGTAAGTAAAAGCTATACCTCCGACACCTCGTGTTTTTCACACTTCTTGTTCCCTCCAACCTATAACGCTGAGCAACACAATTCAATAACGCATGCTTATCCATAGATGACAACAGCTAGTGATGATTCATCTAAGGCAGTGCTAAAAGGCCTTTCCACCAATCATACTGAAATATGAGTCATCATCTAAATTAGATTCCCGGTTCCGAAACGATTACTTAAAGTGCAGGCCAAAATCATGAGACAGTTTTGATACTTTATTAAGATATTTCCTAAGTTCCTTGACAAGCTTATAAGAGTTTTGTGAAAACAACGGTTTTTTTCGCATCTGGCAAGGGTTATCGGAAGTAGACAGGTTGAAAGATTTGACTCTCGCGTGGGTGTAAATTCGAAATGCCATACAGCATTGTTACCCACAACTGGGAGTATCGCAGCTTTTACGGTCGTACGTGACAAAAACAGATGGAGCCCATACCTTGAGTTGATTACTTCAGGCTTATCACACACGATACCTTCCGTTGTACATATTCGTAACTCCTATCCGATTTGGAGCCTCATTGGTGGTACGCCTCTCCCCATTTTGTTTTCATGCGAAAATTGTCCTACTTTCGTCAAGAATATTCTTATCTTAACGACTGTGTCTGGTGAACTTTAATTTTTATAACGCTCAAAGACAAAGTTCGTAATCATGACAAGTAGGCTGAGCTTGCTCCGTTGTCCGAACTTATAATACGTCTAAAACAGGATTTCCTTAGCACTGAGATTAGATTAAGAGTTGGAGGGAAGTTAGCATGATAAGAAAAACAGTGATCCTGCTATTTCTGAACGTTAGCCACTTTATAAATCACATGTCCAAAAATAAATTCACGGAGAGTCAAGGAAGTAGGCATATTTTAATCGCGGAAATATAATGAAACAAAAGCTTCAGCTCTAATTCAAGCTTTAGGTCTGGATAGTACCATGGTCGAACGGTTTAAAGCTTTTGCTGACATCATCATGGACACTGGCAAAATGCCACGTTGTGCAAGTGGTTGTATGAGACAGTCTGAAATGGTGTGGTTGCTTCCCTATCTCACTCAGTTTGACTGGAGCTGGCTCTTCTATTTTGAACTCTACTTGACTCTTTGCCAAAGTCAAAGTCAAATCACGATTCAAGATTTTTTTTCAGTATTTGTTAAAACCTTAAAATAAAAACCTTCACTTTGGTCGACAAACGTCAATTAGGTATGAATAAACCGAAAAGGAGCTCAGATGATTAAAAAAATTAAAGTCAAGATCCTATTACCAATGTTTTTTATGTTTATAATATCACATAGTTATTGCTTTCGGCGGCGTTTTATAAACCTCAGAGTCCATACCCTAACCTTGACTAATTTACCTTTAAATTCTTAGTCTCATGATAATCCAAGTAAATGCACTGGCTGTACACCTGTAAATTAGTTATAATTGGGTCTTAGTACAGTGAAGATTGAAGGGTATCACAACACTGTCGTTCATCGATGCTTGCTTCCAACATATTTATATTTTACTTCTTTTCAAGGTGCAAATTCCATAAATCATGTCAGAAGCCAGGCACAATTTAAACGATAATGTTCAATATCTGTGATCCGTTGAACCGAGTTTGAGTGGTAGATATTCCATAGGCACGATTTTTCAAATGCCCCACTTTATTAAACTGAAATACAGTGTAAACAGCGAATTAAACAATTTTCTCCATCTTCGTACCGAGTCAATGAAATTCAAAGAAAATAAAAAGAAGCTCACTTGAAAATGAAGATGGGAGAGGAGGCCGGTATAGGCCGGGTCGAGTTTGTTTGGATCCAAATTCAAAAAGTTAACCAAACACGTCACTGAAGTGTGCAATGTACGCGGTACTTTTGAAGTTAAGCTACTTTACAACTAGCTAAATCGAAACGAAATGAGAAATGTAGTCGACAGCCGGGCTCTGAATATCTTTTACGCCATATTTGCATTATCCAGCCAAAGCGAAACAGATCGATCTTTGATTCAGAATACACTGTTGGTCATGAGATATCTACTACGACTACAGCTGATGATGATGGTGATATTGATGTAAGTTTATGGCGAACATATCTTCTCTTGCGGGAAGGGCAAAGAAATAAAGCGACAAACAAAAGGAAAAAATTAAAGCAACAAACAAACAAACACAGATATTAAATGGTTCAGATTATTCAAAAACTAACCTGTTATTTTCGACGAGATACGATTTTGAAGCGGCAGAACCAAGGTTAAAGTATTGTTAACTGTGAAAGTAAGTGACGCTGGGGTCAGTCGGGTTTCCTCTTTAATGTGCCTAAGCTGCCTTCAATAATAGCCTCCTTTCTGACTGCTGTAATAAGATGAAAATAATGTATACAAAGGATTAAATGGTTTTTAACATTACGACATAATGCAGTGATCATTGATTTTTTTCTTTTCATCTTTTATCTATAGAAAATCAAACTATGGTTGTCAAAGATGTTTATCGATTTAAAAGTATTCTTTGATGGCGAGTTGTGTTTCTCGGACAACCACAACAAATGCTTTAACCTCGGGCGACTCTCAGTCTGCTCTGTCATAGTTTCGATGATCCCATTATAGACGGCTGCCTGTTTGTGGCGACCCCTGGCTCGAGAGACAACAGATTAGCGCCTTTGAGAATCTAATAACGCAGTTCAGAAAGTGAGAGGGCTCAATAGAGCAATAAATATGATGCAAAAAAACACCTTTATCCCAATGTTCAGAAAAAGACGATTGTGAATGTTTAAGAGCTGACCTGTCATTTTTTCTACATACTTTTGATATGTTGGTGTGTTATTTCACCTTTTGTCCGCTATGCAAAATTCTTCTTCTCTTTTAATATAAGAGAATGTTTGCTTTTCTCTATGTTAGTTTGTTTAAAAAAACCGATTAAGCTAGCCAGGAGGTCAATTGTTGACTTTACATTAAATGAAAAAATTTAAATGTTTTCCTTTCAATTTTCCTAATATTAAGTCCCTCAGGAAAAACGCTTTAAACAAGAGAAATGTAAGTTTTCGTCCTCAATCAACGGCTTACTTCCAGTGGGGCCTGTGAGCATGCGTATCAGCAAGCTATGGCCGAGAACGCGCGTGCGGCGAGCGAGTAAGTTGGAACAGACATTGATCAGAGTAACTTCTTCGCTCTTAAATCACTCGCGTACGTTTTGAATTCATCCCCTTAGAGGGGGTCGTGCTAAGACACCACACGCATAATGGTAATTGAACTGAGTGGAGTGTATCTTGGTCTGAAATCATAAGAGTGATTTCAAAATTGAACGAAACCGCAGCGCGAGTTTGATTTGAAATCAGGCCAAAATTGTACAACATGAAGTTCAATTACCAGTTTTTTACAGCCATTTTGAAATCGCAAAAATCCTGTATCTCAAATACAGTATTTTTTAGTCTGTGTCAATGTTTCATCGATCCAGTACTAAGCTTGGTTATAAAAAGTTGCGAAAGTTGTTTTTCATTTTCCTCTAATTTGATTGGTTACCTTAAACAAGTCTTGAAATATGATTGGATGTTGTGTTTAATCAAGGTTTCAAAGATGCCATTTAAAGCAAAAAATGGTACGATTCGTGGATGAATCGTACCGATGAGTGCCAATCAGATTTAATGAATCGCTAGTGATTTCAAGATGGATGTAATAAAACATCAAACATCGGCCGAAAATTCGTGTGATTGAGTGTTGCAGTATAACTTGCAGGTGGATTATCTAAGCAGCCAGTCTGTGGTGATCAAGCCATCTTACTATCAAAGTACTCTATACTCATGTACTAAGGGTGAGCCTTTTGTTCATTGATAATATCCTCCATTAATAGCCAATGAGTAAGAAATTGTAGCGTGTGCGCAGTTCAAAGTAGCTTCAGCAGTCTTTTTCGATCTTACAAGACCAAGGGTGATTGGCTGATCTGAATTTGCCGGATAATTTCATTCTTACTGTAACCTGTTACTAGTGTGGCTGACCTGGATGAGTCCAATTATTGAAGCCATTTCTTGTAAAATTATCGTACTCTGGCTTTTCCGAAGACTGCTCAAGTGTTCATCACTTTAATATTACTTTCAAACACTAGCACTGCTTCTCCGCCAGTGGCACCTTTTTTAGGTACATGTCTAAAGGATCTTTGTTTGAAGTATCCTTCATCAGTTTTGCATAAAAACAGGATACTGATGGCTCGGTTATGGCTTCTGACAATGCTCATCGCACATTCAACGAAAAAATTTCATTACTTTATCTTGGTAGCTAAAGAAAGGAAGGAAATCTAGGGCATTCTTACGAAGGAAAGCATTTCCACGCCGCTTTGATCCAAGGGTTAATGCAGCATGTTCAGGTATTGGCTTGTGGAAGGAAATCCTTACGTTTTGTGTTTTACCCGTTCCCCTCCTGGTTTTTTTTTTTTTTTTTTTTTTTTTTTTTCAAGCCTTCTTAACTAACTAGAAATGAAAACCCTGACGAATTGTCATGGCCAGATTACCCTGACCAGTGAAAAAACACCGAGAGACTATTTTACAAAAAAGGAAAAGGGAGAGAGAGAGAGAGGGGAGAAGAAGAGAGGGAGAGTGATCTGATATTTAAGATGACTTGGAAATCAAGAAATAAAGAATAGGAAAGAGAAGAATATGCAGTTGAAATTGATATATTTACATATACATATATATTTTAGTGAAAAATTGCAAGAAATGAAATGGATCTTGAGAAAAATTTTTAATGAGTGAGCCTTGCTTATTGTAAGGCTATTGAGCTAAATACAGCCGAGGTTATTGCTTTATGATTTGATAACCAGCATCTTTACTTTGGTCCCTACAAGGCTAGGGTTTTCCTAAACAAGAAATTCTTTCTTAAGTGCGGTCTGTCACATTTCCGAAAGCTTTCGACGATATTTATAAAAATGTTTGTTCCCTGACTCAAAAAAAAATATCCTGTCTCAATTTACCAAAAGCTTTCCATTTTGTGGGCTGCACTTCACAGCTAAGTAAAAATAGAAGGAAATCTCAATGAGAGGCATTTGTTTTTTTGTTGCAAAAGCCTTACGTGCATAAATTTATATTTAAGATCTCTCTTATAAACCTGTTTTCGTTTTTCATTGTGATTATGTTTAAGTGAGACCAATTTGTGATAAAAAAAAATTAACTTCGTTGTACCTTCTAAAATATATGCAATAATCTTATTTTGTATTCAAAGAACTAGCATTGAATCAAATGTAAATATGTTCACATATCGAGAATGTAATAAAGTTAAAAACCTTAAGAAAACACAGTGATTGCTTTATCTCCATGATTAAAATACTTTCAGAGAATCATTAACATTCTTAGAGTGACACTTAGTTGCGATAATTTTCGTTTAGATATGAAGTTTAACTCTTTCAACTGAGCAGTCTTATACTCGAGTTCTCTAGTCAAGGATCAGTTTAATGAAGCGTGAAGTCAATTGTGTCCTTAATCGAAAAGTAGATACTGAAAAGAAATAATTATAGGACATCCGCACTATCAATGTTTTAAAGTGATACATAAGTTGAACAAATTAATGCAAATTGTGAAAGATTTCCGAGAGAAAGATAATGCATTTTAACCTATTTTAATATCTACTTTTTTTATGTGCCATTCTTCGGTAAACTTTTAGTGGTTTTCTACGTCCAGAAATCCTCGAAAACTTGGAATGATCTAACGAAAATCACTAAACTAATTTACGCCCTTCAAAGTTTTGGGCTATTTTCAAAAATAAGACACAGCAATTATTTCTCAAAGGCTGATACGTGGATTTGCTTCTAGAATTAAATGAAGAAAAACTAATTTTGCGTCTTTTTGTACATGGGAGATCTTTCAAGAGAACCTGGCTCTGCCTTTTATACAAATTTTCCTTTTGCATCCAAAGTGTTGTCTAATAAATAGCATTGCACTTAAAAAGAAAATCAGCGTAAGTAGTTGTGAAATAAGTCGCGCCTTAAGACCTCTTATAAATGCGGTATTAGTTATCATGGTATTGATAAAAAGATTTTGCCTTGCAGGCAACACTCCCGCCCTTTGAATTTTGCTACAGTTTACAAATAATTAATATAATGAATTACGTTTTCAAAAGTCACCGACCTACATTGAACAGGAAGAGTAAACTTTCAACATTACACATATGCCATTTGTATTTTCACAATCTGCTTCAAGTCATAGAGGGACGACATAGATTGTTAAAGCATTTGAACCAGTATCCTTTCTTTTTTAAGAGACATATTCATCATTTCAGTTTGAATAAAATTTAATTAAGGGCGTAAAATTTAATCTTTTGTTGGCAGTAATAACCGATACAATCCGGCTGAAATAATTACTTTTTTGATATTTCACTCCTTTGTTTCCAAACACTTCTAACACTGATGCATCCTGATGCTGTTGACAGTTAAGTACTTAATGTGACACGTACCAAGATAGCATTTATCACGTTTACGACGCATATAAAATCCAATCAATTTGCCTTGTGTTTCATTTCAAAAAGCAAAGCTTCCTTTTTCAAAGAAAGTAAGCGAGCGCTCAATGTCGACCAACTATACTGGTAAGCACTAACATGTTGATTTTCCCGTTGTTGTATTCCAGAACGTTTGTCTCCTTCACATCTAGAGACCAACTTAAGTGGATATCCCTTATCTTTTATCTAAACAGCCGATAAATATATCACTCTTTCAGATATGAATTTCATTCCCGCGGAATTAGGATCGAATTAATTTTTTGTGGGTTAGCGGTAGGCCGAAGATATTATTTTGTGAACACGAAGCAAATTTTTTTGTTTTCAGTTTTGCTGCAATGAGAATCACAACGCCGAATTACTTACTAACAGAAAATGATGTTGCAATGGATTGAGCGTGAAATGTATTGCATCTCTGTTTCTAGGCAAAATCATATGAGATGTTTATCGAGTTCGAAATTTAAGGGGTTATACTACAATCTCTTGTAAAATTTTGGGTTTTTCATTAGATTTCTGTTGGTATGTATTTGATGGAAATATAACAGAATCGTGCAATAAGACAGCTTTATAGCTCGTTTTTGAGAATGTGGACGTCTCCTTTGATAAATGCATGTCATGTGGGAATCTCTCCTCTTTGGATCGGTCGTTAGACTTGGAAGAACTGTTTTAAAAACAGTTCGGAGTAGATTACTATTTCGAATTGCCCCTTAAGAGCTTAACAAAGAGAAACTTTCATCAAGACGAAGCTACGCAGCTGAGTGCAAATGAACAATATAAGATCTCATTCAACCTGTCAGTCTGTGATAATCGATCTCAGGATGTCTCTTTTGTAAAGAAAGAAACCGTGACACTAGCTTACAGGCTCAGATAAAGACCATTGAAGTGCCACCCTTTGAAAAGAAAAGCCGCCTCATAATTCTGACGTTACGTTGAAAGTGATATTTTGCTAATTGATTTTTGTTGAAATGCAGCTTCTTTTTGCTGACCTCGAAAGCGGCCTTGGACAAACTCAATGAAACTCATTTTTTTGTAATTTATTACTCTCCCTTACTCACAATATGCTTCACCTACTTGCTAGGCTCGGCGAAAAGATTAACCGCTTTCGTTATCTTCAAGAGAACGTTGCGACCTTTGGTGACTTGTGACTAAAGTCGCGCGTTATTCTTTAGTATAACAAGTGAAGTTAAGATAGGTTTAACTATTTCTTCATTGTCCCGGTACATGTCGTTCACCACAAACGTAACTGAAAAAAGATGCCCATTAATACTCTCTAACTGATCCATCTCCTATCTTTTTAGAAACTAGACTTAACGGGTCTGGTGACTCGATGTTACACTGTGTTCCGAAACCGGCCACATTTTCAACTCAGGTTGGTTTGACCATCGCCTATTTCATCGTGTTCCTTGTGGCGTTGGTAGGAAATTCAATGATAATTTTTGTGATTCACTGTCACCCAAAATGCAAAACGACCTTCAATATGTTAATTGTCAACATGGCAGCCGCTGACATTCTAGACGTCATTACTGCTATCCCATTGTCCCTAGTGTACTTATATGAAAGTGCAAAGTGGTTTCCAGGAAGATTTGGTGTTATCCTCTGCAAGTGTCTGCCATTCCTGGCCTTTATTTCTATTGGTTCATCTGTCCTTACGTTGACAGTTATGACCTTTGACCGCTATCTGGCCATTGTGCACGTGATGAAGAGGCCATTGTCTCTAAAACTGACTCTAGTGGCGATTACCTTGACTTGGCTCGTTTCGGGCTTGGTGTTTGCCAGTGAAATTTACAAGTACAAGCTTTACAATGAGTCAGGTCAAGTCATATGTGCTCCAAGATGGGTGGAAGATCTTCTCGCTTCTCATAAAATAACAATGTACGAAATGATTGTCCGGTTTGTCCTGTTCTACCTCATTCCACTCCTCGCCATGGCCGTACTCTATTCAAAGATTGTGCTGCATATGTGGAGAAGAAAGGCACCTGGCGAGCACATCGACAAAAACCAAAAACGAATCGAAATACAGAAACGCAAAGTGATTTCTATGTTGGTCACCATTGTAACAATTTTTGCCCTATGTTGGCTTCCAGCGCACGTCAATCACTTTCTGGTGACATTCAACTTTGAAGCCTTCAGTTGTTTACCGACCTCGTTGATTCTTACCTTTTTTTTTATGACGCATGCCAACACTGCTATCAACCCGTGCCTTTATTTCATATTCAATGAGATTTTTCGTGAAGGATTTAAGCATCAGATTTATCACAGGCTCAGTGGACGTTTTTCAAGTGGAAGTGATCGCTTGTCTTCCATAAGAGCAGAGGCCATAAGCGGAAGTGCTACCGCTTCTCGCTTTACACTTCTTGGAAGTAAACGAGGAAGCACAAGGGAGGACATGTATCATGAGAGTGATACTCTAGTTTGACTCAGCACCAGCATTGCCCCTAATTGACTAGAATAAGGGTAAAGTGGAAGCATATTTCAATTTTTTATTCGCTTTTTCTTTCGAACATTGAGTGAGCAGATTTGCTTTTATTTAACAGCAGTAACCTATAAGTGTATTTGTACACTTTTCCGTTTAAGTAGCATATACTGATTCATTATATATTGTTAAATGCTCGAGGGACCTTGATTGTAAATTTAAAAAAAAAACTGTTTCATAAGGAGTCAGGCACAAAAAAACATGAGTATTATCTATTGAAACATGTTATAGAATAGGTGATTGAAACTGTAAATAAAACCAAGCTGATCATCGCTGATGAGGTCCCTTACTACTCAGTTACTATACAGATAAATACACTCATACCTTTATCTGGTACAAGAACTTTACAGATTATGTAAAAATGCATCTAAAAGTAATTCCTACGCAAGAGTTAATAGATGTATAGTTAAATATGGTACAATTTTCATGTTTGTTAATATCAAACTATGTTATCTTTGAGGTTTATTTCTGATCGCCGTCTTTTATCTAAGAACATGCGAAAGTTAAACTGGAAAAACGAAAGGAGAGGTAAAGCTACTCTTCTAGATTGTGTAACTCTGATATTGTTTTGTAGGGTTGTTTGGTTGTCTTTTTTCCGTCATTTTTTTCAGTGGTATGGTTGAAAATCAATAGCGAATTGTGTTGCTACGACTCACACGTCTCCCTTGACAAATTTAGTGGAAACTACGATAACTGGGTGATCAATAATATTTCCATTGCCCTCCAATGTACTACTTACTGTTTGCTTTTTCACAGAGTTTTTTAAATTTAACCTATATTTAACCCATTTGTATCTCCGTTGATATATTTTGATTCATAACTTTATCTATTTCGAGAGTTGCTTTTATTTGAGTGGTAACGATACATTCAGGTGATAAAGTTCCTAACTGACAATATTCTATTCGTGTTTGACCTCAAAAACGGTAAGTGGCGTCGTGTTATCCCTCTTGCTCCACTGAACAACCGAGTACATCCTTGCCCTTCTGCGTGGTAAGCATCCATTCCTGCAGGTCTTGTTAATATTGGAAGAGGGTATATGATTCCCTCTGCACAGACTGTGAAAAATGACCCTAAAAGATTTCCTAAATGAGTCGTTCAACAGAATGACTACACATGGATTTAGAGCACTATTAAGATGTGAGACCCAAAACAAGAATAGTGGGAGAGATGGAGGCAGAGACATGTATATTTCTCCATAAAAGTATACCAAGATGTGTATTACGTGAACCGGAAGCCAACACACAGTAAACAGCACTACGATAACGATTAACATTCGCATGACGCGCTGGTGGCGCTTTCTGAAAGTGTCGGACAGGTGTTCTGCCGGCTGATCACTGCTAAGAGCTCTCTTTGTCCTGTTGAGCTTTTTAATAATCAAGCACGATAATATAGCAATGATAAACAATGGAACAACATAAAGAATTGCGGCCACTGAGGAGAAGAAGAATTTCGGACTATACTCGTTGCTGAATAAAGGTTCCCAGTCCATGACACATAGAGTAACCCCGTCTATAGTGTATGTATCGTGAATATAAAGATAAAAACTCATGAACAAGGCGGAGAAAACCCATATGGCAGCGGATAACAAAATAGGTCTCTTTATGAACGACGGATACAACATGGGCCTCACAACAGCCATGTATCTTTCCAAGGAAATCGTCAACAATGCAAATATGGATACAGCAATTGTAGTACCAACGACAAAATTAATAAATTTGCAAGTTATAACGCCAGTGACACCTGGGAACCATTCATGTTGCACGTAGAAGTAACAGATGGTATAGGGCATCACAAATAGGGCGGTAAGAAGATCCGAAACTGCCATACTGGATAAAAGAATCGATACGGTAGTCGGAGGACGTCGCAACCTAATTATGCGGAGTAAAATCAGGTTTCCCAGCAGAGCGGTTATTAACGTGACAGAATACACGACCGTGAGACTTATCTGTAGAACTTCACCAACGTCATATCCATACCAAGAGGCCTCTAAGGAAGCATTTTGACTCCCTGAAGAGTCTATAGAAAGAATTAAATGTACTGAATTGAATAAACTCAGTTACAAAAACCTGTTTTAGAAATTAACACATCCTTGACTGAGAAAAGGTAATCGGTATCTTGAAAACAATATCCGCTAAAAAGATAAATAAAATGAGTAAAATGCAAAGCAACTCTTTCAACGGGAATTATTATACATGTGCAGTTTATATGGAGGAAATATAATTTCATCCCAATGTTTACTCTCACAGCCATGTTTATGTCATGACAGCCTTTCCATTCCTTACGTAGTAACCTGTTTTCTTCGCTATCCTCAAAGGATCCGACTAAGATAAATATCCGATCAAAACAATTTCTCACAGCTTTCATTCAGATTTAACTTGAAAGCCGGAAACGAAGAGTGCTTAACCAAAGTTTTTTGAAAAAAAATTAACTTGGACCATCATCATTTAATTTTACTAAATTAAAATTTTGTTGTTCTGGCTCACTGAGTTACCATGCGTTTTTAGTAACATATCTATAAAGTGACTATGCGAGACGAAAAAGCTCTGCGTTATTCATCATCCACGGTCATCCTTTTTAGAAAGTAAAATTAACCACGATTCAAAACAAAATAAGTTTCAAAAATTAAAACGCGCTATGATATCTTTTGAGTCTAAGGTATCATTCCCTATCCGATTATATTTTGTATTTGGGATTTCTCGCCAAAGAATCACAAAAAAATAGAAATTCCCTTCTTAAATATTTCTCTTTTATCCCAAGTTTTACTTACCGTTATTTACAGTTTCGTTCAGCATGCCTTTTTTTTAGACCCGAGTAGTTCGTCGCCTAATGTTCTCTTAATAACTACATTGTACACCAGTAAATCGTGAAACTGGGGCGTGTATATTTGCATCTTCTTTTAAATGGAAATAAATGCAGATTCGATTTATCACGGGAAAACAAAACAATATTAATAAATCGTGTGACGTCTAAAAGGACTTGCCATTTATCAAAAGCTTTTTTCATTAAACAAGACCAAGCTGACAATACGTTCTGTCCTCTTCCAGTTTACTCATATTTAAAATCAGCCATGCACAATGCTACTAATTAATAAAATTTGTGAAATTGGATTGGTAAAAGACCAAAGATAAGAAAATTATTACTGACATGTCGTTCTGCGAAATTTGGTGGTCCATTGATTAGCAGGTTACGACACCTATCAGGTGAAATCTTCAAAAATAGCGCTAATGTAGAGGCAAACTCTCAACTCGAATATTATGTCACTCTGCTTGACTGTTCGAGAATCGAATATGTTAGCAGAACATATTTGAATCATAGGACAGTGCGGTAAAGTTGAACTATAGAAACCTCTCGATTCCGTTGTTAGTACTGGTACCAAATGTATATTAACCTATGTTCAACACGTAAAGAAAACGAAACTGTAAAGTCCTTTTTAATTGCTATTATTTAATTTTTACACGAAGAAGCAAGTCTTAACAATTGAAAAAAGTAAAAATAAATAAAGAATACGACGTGACAATGTGAAAACAATTGTTTACCTACACCTGCTCTCACTTATCAAAAGCGATCTCTGAGCATGTGTTGAGAGCGATTTCGTTTCTTTAGAAAAACTGAGCACGGGCGTTAAGATGTTTTCATGTGATGTTCTGTCTATATTAAAACTATTAAATGTAAAACTAAAACTTCTTTTAGACAGAGTTCGAATTCAGGGGAGAGTTTTGCTTTGCTCAAATTTACAGCAAACTACCTTTGCAACGTATTAGTTCGATACCAGTTAGCAAAAGTAGACCTCATTTCATACCTGTTGTCAATCAACAGCCAATGAAGAACTTTCGGAGCGGAAAAACTTTAACGGAATATTATTTGGTTGTGGTCTGGGTACCTGTTGATGTCAGGCGCGAAAGGCAGCAGTGCAAATATAACTGTGAATCTTTAAAAAGGTATTGAAACTTTTCGTGTATATCATTATAAAAGACTAGATTTCCCACAGTTATTATTCAGAGGTAAATGAAGACTGAAAAAAATATTATCTCACAATTTGGTGGCAAACCATTTTAATGAATTTCTACAACAATAAGTAAATTTTCGCGTCTGAAATTCATTCAAATGAGGAGACTGGTTTTTGTTTTCGTCCAGGTCCACGAAATAAAGCTTTCAGAGTCTGTTAAAAAAGAAAAAGATAAGATTAGTGATTAAAGCATGGTTAACTCACTCGAAGTCGCCTGTTTAAACATGATATGCCAACATCTTTTGTATCTTGTTTTATTCAAAGTGAAGTTTACCCTGCGCTTTTTTATCTTTTATCGTCGATGACACGGGTTCATTAGGACATGGAGAGATTTGTTGTGATATTTATACAGGCAACTGAACTCAGACAGACTGACTACTTTTCGATCGACAACTGTTACAAAGTCCAACCGTGGTAATAATTTGTATGCATATTTTCAACAGAATTTCGTCGTTATTTGTCGCTCAGGCGTTCATCTATCAAGATAGAAAACCTCTTTCGCTAAGGAAAGTAAACGTAATGAACATCGTTAAGGAAATTTTTTAAATCGATTTTTGTTAACTCTTTATTAGTGTTGGTGCTTCCTTTTAGATTTAGGGAAAGCGTTGTTATAAAATCGCTGTTTTGTTTTTCTCAAAAAATATGTGCATGTATAACAAAATTAAATTTTAAAAGATAGAACAGATAATGGTTCATTAGGGAACATGACGTGTATTGTGGTTGGATGAAAAGATATGTTTTCAGATCTGTAAACTGCGAAAAAATCTACATCACTCACAATTGCCATTAACACTTTTGTTGGCACTCTTTTACTCCGTTGACCCGTAACGGAGTTCCAAGTCGTGCCAATCGCGAAATTAGTTATGTAATTGCATTGAATGACGAGTTTATACTATAAGTATATACTATAAGTATAAAAGCTTAATGAAATTTTCCAGCATTCTAATTATCTTCCTAGGAATCATCCTCTTACTACACCTTGAAATTATGGCTATTTATAATTGAAAGCAAACTTACAGTGGCTGTGATGCAGACTATTTAAGCACCATGAGCAGGATTATGGTTAATGCCACGCTAATTCCAAGAAGTACAACGAAAACGAACATCATGGTACGAATCATTTTTTCCTGTAAATAGATAAAAATGGACATTAATTTCTATTATAATTTCAAGAGCTGCAAATAGATAATAGGCCTATCGATAGCAAATAACAATTTTTCGAGGAAAATGACAGTCGGAAAATTCGTAGGCTCACTGGTCTTGGACCGTAGATTCCCATACCCTAAACCTCGACGAAAAAACGGTTTAGTCTTTGGACAAAGCATCACGTGCCACGTGTTTGATAGTCTTATCAGTTTGATGGGGGGGGGGGGGATGAGGAGGAATTCATGAACCCCGCCCCCTTCTTCTTCTTGTCTCCCATCCACCACAAAAAGCCAATGTCACGATCTCATTCCTATCCCCCTATCCCCCTATCCCCCTATCCCCCTATCCCCACATACCGATAGGTTGAAAATTTACTACAGTGTTGTTAAGCAGATTCATGAATCTGCACTTTGTAGTAAACGAGGCGGATTCAAACGATATCTCCCTCAAAACAGTAAACACGATGGCAGTTAGACACAAAAATAAAAGATACGTTAAATAGGGAAAAGAATCGTCTGAGGAACGAGAAGTGGGGAGTTTGCCAAAACATCACAAAATTCATGGTACGCGTGGATGGTTGAAAAAGTAGTGATATCGTTGTCAAGTGCGAGTCCTGCTTGGCCACTGTAAATGACTGTAAATTACTCCAGATTTGTTATCATTCATCAACAGCAAGTGAAAAGTCCTTTGTAGAAAATGCCATAGTTTAAAACCCTTTGGAAATGACGAGGTAAAATATTTTCAGGGAGTTCAAGAACGATCGAGAAAAGATGCTCCACGAATAATTTCAAAAAGCCTCAAATAAGCTGACAACTGAAAAGGAAGTCTCCATCACGCATTTGTAAAGATCTACAATCGTGCAGGAGAAAAGAGAAAAAAAAAAGGTGAAAAATTAAAGGAGAAGAGTTTACAACAGAGGGCATGCTTGCTTATCGAAAATCTCACCCTAAGAGAGCTAGCTGCAATCAAAAATAACAATAATTTTACAAGCATCGCAACCACAATTAGATGCTGAGTTCATCAGAAAATTGGTCAGGCTTCTTCATCTCTACCCTCTGCTACGGCTGCTAGACAAAGGCCTTTTTAATACAAACAGTGCCCGTAATGTGCAGGTAATAGTAGCCAGTTTAAACGAAAAAAGCAGAGTCACAGGAGGATGTTATTCACGAGTCGGTGGAAGAATGCGTCCAAGAGAATGCCAATTAAAGACGCGTTGGGGGACGAAGCCGTCACAATAAACTCTTGTTGATATATGATATATTTCTTACTTCTGTTGTTGTTGTTTGAACAAGAAAACTCAGCTGAAAGTACAAGATAATCAAAACGGTAATCAAATGATCCAACCGCTTCAAATATTTTTCTATTTTTTTTTTCATGCCTCCTTCCCCCTTACTTAGTGCCTGTCATTTGTGACCGCCCCCAACATTCAAAACTCTCCCCCCCGTTCAAGGTGACAAATAATGACTGTTCTATCATGAGGATGCACAGAACTCACGCACCTTGGTTGGCATTTCAAGCTCGGGTGGGGCTCGATTGGCTTGTCCAGGTTGGTCCATGGGAAAATCTGTATGTAATAAGTTTAAAATATGTTTGACGAGTTACTTTCCCGGGTAGTTTGAAAATAAAAAAAAAATCATTACATTACCTGCTTGTAGGTAAGCAGGAAGCTGTCACAAATATGAATTAAATTTTAAACGACCAAGGCTAAAATTTTTATGGACACTCAACTTCTGACATTGCTGATTCATTATCTAGAGGTATATGCCAGCTAAACACTTTTTTGCTTTAAAATGTAGTTCATGGCCTTCAGCCCTTCAACAGTCCCTTCCTGACCCACGGGTATAGAACATATGTGCGACTGCATTACGGAAGATGATAAGGTCCGATCCTTAAACGGAACCCCAATTTCCCCCCCCTCCCTGTAATCATATTAAATGAATTCAGAGCAACTTTTTACTTCCACCTTCTCCACCACTTCTAATTAACCTTGTGCAAATGATACCCTGTCATTAAGATCACTACCCCCTGACCGAAAAAGAAGGGTAAGGGAGCAAACTCTCACCTCCGTTGTTTATTGGGCCAGACTTCTTTTCACGACTCCTTTTGGACAGTATGAGATACAGCTCAAACATGAACACAAGAAACTCCCCAATGTAGAAGGAAATCACGGCATAGAGTCCTTCCCTATCCAAGCCGAATTCTTTTAATCCAAGATAAATGGTAACCACTGCAAACAGAAAATTAAAGTTGGATACGTCCCGATCGTTTAAACCCTGCAGAGACAGTAACGTTCAATATATCGAGCAAACGTTGCTGTTTATTTCTGACTAGGTAGTTTCAACTGCATTTAAAAAAGCCGTTAACAATTAACTTATCGATTATTTTTTTGTCTTAAAAACTCATCTGCATATTGCTCAGTCTCTTCGTCTCTAGTTTCTGAATTCGTGGAAAGAATTCTAATGTTCAAGAACTGGTTAAATCATTTACAACAGCTGATTTACAGCCGTGTAGCCGGAAATTACCTCCAAGAATCAGTGCAGTGAAACCAACACATCTATGTGCCCAGTTAAATATGTTGCGCCTGCGTTAAAAAAAATTAAGAAATTAAACGTCATGTTTCATCTTTATCGGCATAAATTATATTTTGTGTAAAATTTCAGTTGAGATATCTACGGGATATTGGCTGAACACGATTTAAGTTTGCAAATCACAGCAATTTCGGTGGGTGACCCGACTTTTCGAGAAGGTCTAACACATCAAAATTTTCGATTACATTGCTTGATTATCTGATACTCGTTATAATATTTACGTTTCTCGATCGCTTAACTGAAAAAAAAATAAAACTACCGAGCCTGCATAACCATACGTAGGCTCTTTTTCCTGAAAAACAACAATTGAGACCGTCGACTTGGCTAACAGTCGCGCAAATATTTTTGAAGAAAAGGTATCGTGAGTATACTACTTTTGGCTTGTCAAATAGTAGCATCTCAGGCTAAAAACAAAAAATAATTTACAGCTTTTCAGAATGAATTTCCTTGGATTCAGATTGTTTATGTAATAGTTGAAGATGAACACAGGTACCTAGGCTCGCCAGGATGTGGTCTGAATGCTGCCATGATTGGCTGCGCAATTGCGAAAGCGAGGACAATGATACCAAGGTATGGATGTGCGCCAGCGTTCTGTTAAAACACAGAAAAATGAAAAGAAAAAAATCAAGCATAAAATAAATTTTTAAAAAAATTGATAAATAAATGAATGAAATAGCTGACATATCGAGGCGGACCTGATTTGAAATTTTGTTCGCTTTGTGGGCTTGCTAAGGTGCTAAGAAGAGATGGTTTACATACCTTATCCTCTCATGATTACAATGCAGTTCTATTTTTCCTTTCAGCACTATTACATGAGTTATTTTCAAAATGGAGCTCAAAACAAATAACGAAATGTTTTTTTGCACACCTGCTTTCACTAAGCTGGTCTATCTACATGGATTAATAACATCAATATTGCAATTTGATTTGCAGTTGATAACTCTGCTTACCGAAGACCACTCTTTTTTGTGAACAAATATGACAATTATTCCCGCAATTGTAAGCAGGACTGTTGTCGTCATCAGTGTTCGATGAACCTGTTGAGGAAGAAAAAGAAATCGATAGCATTTTCGGCCCGGAAAACACATTTTATACTTTCGGTCAAGATAAGAGTTGTTCCGATGCCGATGAATCTGTAAGGCTTATCACTGCTGCATTACAAAGTTACTGGCACTTAGAGCCGATCATTCATCATTTGAATAACGGATTACAGAATATAAAAGGGCCTCAACAAGGTTAACATCAAGCGGCATGCGGTTATAAGTGTTATAAAGGTAAATGGGAACTGTCAACATTAGAAAATTGTAGCTGTCAATTAATCAACATCATTCCCTATGTGACTTTACCATTCTGAAGAGAAGTGAGTCACTTTAAGTCTGAGAAGAAAGGCTGAGTGATCTTCGAAGTTTGCTCAGTGTTTCATTCCTAAAAAATTTCAAATTTGCCTTTTCATATATAAAAGCATGGAGTGGTATACCAACCGTAAACCAGGCCTTCTTTCCTAACAATTCCCTTGGTTCCCAGGCCTGTCGCATGTATCGCGCGATGAACAAACCCACAAAAGCAAACAGAATCCAAGCAAGTGTCATGAGGGCGCCTACAATGAGGAAAATGGTAATGAAAGTCTACTTCTAACTAAAATTAGTCAATAAATCCTGTCTTCAATGATACCGAAATATACTCTATCTTTAGGGTTCTTCGTCAGATTTGATCATTGAGATAGGAGCAGATCCTTTTCAAATACAGGATTCCATTGCTAACCTGTTGTAAATTATCATTTTAATCTTGAACTCATTCCATCATAATTTAAAACGTTACACAAAAATTACACTTTATACTAAAGACACAACTTTCAACGAACAAATCAGGCACGAGAAGCTTATCAGTTTCAAAGCAATAAGGCAGGACGGTGTGAACAATCTTTGCTTAACTTTCAGTGACTTATTCACTGTGTACTTTACCATGGACAATTATGTTGTTTATGCCGCTATCCCCCCCTGATGCATCCGATGGAGATAAGCTTGTGACGTTGACCCTGGAACCTGTAGACTGGCGAGCATCATCAGAGCGACCATGATAGTTAATTTCTCCATCTGAATGAGTGAGAAAAGATTGGATAATGTAACCAACTAATGACTACCCAACGGCTACAAATTCTCAGTTTTGGCAACTTCGAATAATTTAGCGGGGCAAGGTAGAGGGAAAACATAAAAACAGTGAATGAATGAATGAAGTAGCTTCACATACCAAGTATCACTGTTTGCCAGGGGACTTTGTCGTAGCCATACGCACGTTTTCTTTATTTCGTGGATAAAACTATCATACTATGCCCAATGAAGTGTTTGCTACCCGCTTCCAACTTATATTTACAAATGTGAAATAAGAGTCCGGGCTTGATCTTACCGCCGTCCCCAACTGCTCCCAAAAGAAACCAGAGCTGACTCAAATTTCTCAAGTTTGCGATTCCTGGATTGATATCCCTGGAAATTCTGGAAAACAAAAGTGATCACAGACATAGATATTACAATCCATATAAAGTTTGTTTTATGATTAGCCTAAACCGGTTGTAGGCAGACATAGTTTGCGAAAAAATTTCAAGAGGTGTAATTCAAAACTAAATATATTAAAAACTTTTTTCAATTGCGGGAATCTAGAAAAATTAAGGAAAAAGGTGTAATTCAAAACTAAATATATACATATAAAACTTTTTTCAATTGATTTCTGTTGGAATCTAGATATAATTTATCAAATTACCTTTCAAACACACATACAATTATTTTTATTCATAAACTAAATCTTTATATATTTTTACCTATACAAAACAATTATTATTTTATATATTTTTTTTTTTATTTTTTTATTTTGATTCAGTTGACATTGTCGCTTGTGTTTGGGCTTTTGCCTTCAGCTCAAGTCTTCTCGTTTTTTCCTGTGTTAATTGAGGTAGTTACATGCTGGAATTTATTTTGACTTACAAGTACTTCTTATAATGTACCTTTAATTATAGTTAATTTATAGTCTACCATTTTATACATGAGCCTCTGGCTCGGGCAATTGGGCAACCATGCCTCACGTTAGACAATAAACTTTGATTGATTGATTGATTGATTGATTGATTGATTGATTGAAAGCAACAGGCGTTATCGTGATGTCTTCTTTACGTGTTAGGAGACAAAAACTGTTACGACCATGCAGAGATTTTTACCAAAACTGTCTAGTTTTTTCTTATGCGTTATGACGGGTAATTATTCTGTTCTCAAACGTCTCTTGATACCTAGATTGAACCGTAATTAAATAATATACGAACGAGAAAATTGAACGTTATAGTATCAATAAAGGAAAGAGCTACCTGCACTTGACCATTCCACCTTCATTTGCTTGTTCAAGAAACGTCACTGCTGCAGGATCCTGTACGAAACAAAAATTTTCCTGAATAATCCGGCTGGAGATGAATCTTATGGTCATTTGTAGTACGAGCAAATTTCAATGTATCATCAGCAGAAAATAACTACATTCAATTTAGAGGAACAAAAACCATTTCTATGTGTTTGAATTCATTTTGAAATTCGACAGAGGCATAAGGTGTAGGCTGGCACTTACTGGATTAGTCTTTGTAGGAATACTCTCCGCTTCAGCATAATAATGACCACTGAGCGTAGTAGTACTTTCCGCAAAGAAGAATGTCTGTATCGGTCTATATAAAAAAGAAGAGGTACAAAGCGTCAAAATAATGAAAAAGAACCACTGAATTGCGAATGCACACGTCAGAACTCTCCATTTGCTAATTTCAATGACACTCTTAATGATGTTTACTCAGTAACTCTTGTGAAATCTTTTGGCAAGATTTTCAATATTTTCGAAAGTATTTCGAGTTTCTGTGGGTTTCCTTATTCGGCACCGACTCTTTGATTGTATTAGAAAACTTGCACCATTCTCTAAGCCAATCATAGGCAAAACTAAGCGCAGTTATACGTTGACTTGGCCACTGGTGTTGTCATGCCCTTGAGATTGACTGAACTTTTCGGTTCAGTTATTTGTTAAGATTTGGCTTTACGACGGGCAATGACACCAATGACAATTTTGGGCGTATTAATCACAATGAACTGTATGATACATATGTGGTTGTCATGATTTTGCTGCAAGATTTCACGACTGACTTCCAATGCATTCTAATTGCAGCTTTGCAAAACTCATCTTTTCATTTTCTTTCATAGCATTTTTTTTCAAAATTTTCAGCATAAATGAAACACGCATGATTACATGGCGCTTATGTCCAGTATCCTATGCTGGTTTATCGCTAGACTTTTATCCTAGCCATTCTCTCTTGTCTGATAATATTACCATTTCACGGTCATCACTAAATCCTACTGCCACCCAGGTCCCTTTGCCGCTCAGCTCGAACTCCACTTTATCCCCACCCGTTGCGTTGTACGTCACAAGGAAGTTACAGTCGTCAGTGCAGGATTCTGGAAACCTAAAGCATCCTTTTCCAGATCCACAGTCATCTGTGGTAATCTAGTGAGAGAGCATCAATGTATGTTTAGCCTCAGACTGTGCACTCAATAGTGTTGAAGAGCTTAGCAACTCTAACTTAGGACTCCTCTTAAATTGGAACAGGTTTATGTATTCAACATGACCTCTTTATCTTTTTCTTCAATTACAAGGACCCGTTATTAATCGGGAGACATTTTTCCCTATCCGCAATTGTAGTGAACCGTCTGTACCAGAGCACGCGCAACAGTCATTTCCTTACAATAGTGTAACCTCCCCTTCAGTTCCGACGGAGGGCAACAATACTACTATAACTTTAGTATATTATAAAGTCAGCGAAGGGACGCCGCTATTCTGAATACACATTATCTGGATCAGAGGGGTTTCCCCTAAGTTATGTCCTCCGAATACAAATTTTCCATATCGAGCAAATTAACGCTACTTTGAGTACACATTAATCAGTAAGTGTACTAGAATATACGCATGTATGTGTACTTACCTCCAGAGCATGCAGGTTGTTTGACAGCAGAATGAGTAGAGACGAAATCAGTAACTGGTGCTGGCGATTAAAGAGATCGAATTAATTAACTTTTGATGGTTTTTCATGGCAGTGCTCGATCGCATTTGAAAACAGAATAATAGAGGAAAGCCCCTGTAACTTTGAAAGAAAAAGTCTTTGTTACTTTATCTATTTATTTACTTTTATTAATTTTAGGCAATGAGGAAGGGATGTATTATTCTCTCTGAGAGTGAAAACGTTCTATTCTCCATATTTGAAGTAAATCTCGTTTGGCGAAGGTTCTTACCCTGAGGTGCTATTCACTTTCCGTTCAAATCGCGTCGGTAAAAGAAACAAAAACTGGAACGTATTCACTGAACCGTTAAAACGTTAAAAGTTACGGTATATGCAAACTACGGCGCTCATCCTGTCAAAATTATGGCAATCCAACTGTTGTCCGGGAGTGAATTAAAATCTTCGATCCAAATTTCAATTTACATACACTGAAATATGATATCTTTGAAAGGTGCCAACATCTTCGTTTTCCCAATCAAACTTTGAAGAAAGTGGCATAATGAAATTAAGTTTAGTCGACAAAGCTCGTTGAGCATAAAGTCGAAAAATTTGCATTTTTTTCCTTTGGAAATATTTATATTGACCCGTGAACACGAAACCGTTAAAGGACTGAAATTTGACATTTTTTCCCAACTTCAATGACTAATAAAGCTAAGAATTATTTCGAAGAGAAAATCACGCGATTGAAGACATGTAACATCTGATGAACGTATTCGAAGAAAACTACTGTTTGGAATTGACTTCAATACTTCTCGTATTCAAATGTCGGTGATGAACTTTTGGTCATACAAACAATGCATATTATCGAGATCGGCAAAACTTTCCTTCTCTTTAAAACACTTGGAAATATGTAAGTGTTGTTCTACTTACCTTGGTTGAGATCACCATTCTTGGGATCGTGCCTTTCTTCGAAACGGAACAGTTCTGTTATTCTAGTACTGCGATTTTAAGGACACCAGCTAGTCACAAAGAAAAAATGCCTCCGGTATACTGTGTGCGAACAGCCGAACACATTCACGACGAAGTACAAGGAATTTATTTTGAACGTAAATAAGTCCGTCTTAAGGCTATGCCTATATTATTTTCTATTGTCATGGAAGCGAAAACAAACGAACAAAAGCATTGTCATCACACGCTTCCTTTTACTACTTCAAGCTATAATCAGTCTATAAGTCCAATATCTTATTTCACTTTTTGTTAGATTTTTTGTTCAGAGGTTAGCGCTACATATATAGGACTGAAACGAAAATTGCAAAATTCAGCACCGATAATGCTTACTGCCCTTCAAACCAAGTCCTCATGACGAGGCATTTTTTTGTCTTTGTTTATATTTCTTTAGGGTAATTTATTCAGCCTTGAGTGTATTGCGTGCGAGTCAATTTTATAAACAAAAAGATGACTAATCTCGAGATGATGACGTCACACAAAGAATACTTCCTGCGGTCGGTAGTTGGGTTAGTGACGTGATGACTCATCAGTTTGTAGATGTCACTCTTTACACTCTAGTGTGAGTTATGCTAATGATAAAGGCGATGGACTTGCATATGCTTAGCGTCAGTTTGTGTTTTAGAACTCATGTAAAAATTTAGTTCAGTATCGAAGCATATTTTACTTCAAGAATAAAACAAGGTATTAAACGCAGCTAGTTCATTAAATGTTCCAAATTTAACCTTCTATTTATGCCAAGAACCAAATCTAATCAATCGTTTCTTGTCCAGTTGGCACCTGATTTATACAAAGAAGCTTTTTGTGACATTTCTAACAAATCGTGTAACCCGTGCCCAAGCCTCGTTCCCACGCGTTCTCTGTCTCATTGTCGGCCCGGAGTCTTTGAAAAGGGTCTCTCTCTTTTACGTCATGGCTAAAAGAGGAGTCAAGAGGAATTAGCTAAACCAATGAGTTGCAATCGTCGCCATTTTTTTAAAAAATTTTTAAGTATTATTATTGAACGATGACGTCAGTTGACTCTAGCTAAAACTAAAGCACATACATTTATAAGTACATATAGAAGAATATGAAACTAGCACCACACGCTTTTACAGACATTGCCATAAAAGACAATGTTAGTTTCAAGCTACAGATTATTGAGCTAGAGTTTTGTATCAAATTCCAAATCTTTGTCTCGTTCTACGCTTTCTTGATTTTTCGATCTACGGATTTCCGTGATGGCGATATTTTCTGCAAACTCCATTCCTTCGAATGCAAAATTTTTGTGAGGAACAATGTGTCTTGTTTGAAGGGGTATTGTTTCTCTTACTCTGAAGACTTCTCTCAGTCCTTGCCGAAATTTGCTATTGAATATAAAATATATAATGGAATTAATCGCAGCATTTGTATGAGAGATCCAAAAGGAGAGGAGCGGAACGTGTGCTGGGAGAGCGCAATACTTTGAGAGACTAAGGACGCTTATCAAATGGTTTACATGGGCGAAAAGCCAACAGAAGGCAAACAGAACAACGATGGAAACTAACAATTTAAATATCCTTTGATTTTGCGCGCTAATCCTCTCTTGTGTCTCACTGTTACCAAGCGGTCTCCTTTTTCGAAGCGAAAGACCGATTATAACACTTGTCGTTCCCAACAAAATCAAAGGGAGTAGATATAATGTCAAAACCTTGCCGCATTCCTCCAACGTGCTGTAAAGTAGATGCTCCTCTGGATCGTCGCTCCATACTGACCGACATATTGTACTTCCGCCCTCACTCTCTGTCGTATCTATCTTGTAGAGACAGGGAACACCCACTATGACTGACACTATCCAACTCAAGGCTATACATTTTTTCGTTGTTGCTGAGGATATTGGATTTGTCATTACGTGTACAATTGCCATATATCGATCCACTGACATAATCACGAGCGTGGAGATTGAGAGACCGATTGAAACAGACACACTGAAACATACAAGTTTGCAAGAGATTTTACCTCCGTAGCCCAAAATCCAGTTTACACCAACAAACATGAATGAAAGAGACGTGATCGTTGAAAAACAGACATCTATAATGTCTGCCACAGCCATATTGATAATAAGATGATTGAATGTAGATTGTCGTAAGTCTTTGCACGTCCTCATCAAGTATATAACCATGGTATTTACGGTGCAGGCTGCGATTAATAAGACGACGTAAGCAGTTGTCAAAATAGCCTTCGTGATAAGCCCAGGATGGAGTAAAAGGCAACTCTGTGGAATGATACTATGAGCTTCTGCGTTGAAATTCAACTGGTTCATAACTGGTTGTAATCTGAGTATACAGAGAGGAGAAACGATTTCCCCTCGTTAGTTTATTTTGGAATGTGTATGTGAATGATTACAACCCTATTTTAAGATTTTGGCAGATCAGTAGATCATAGTAGACTTTTGGAGGTGTCTACGATCTGTGCACCTTTTCAACATGCTTCCTTTAATCTACGTCTACGGGATGCTTGCTTCAAAATTAAACTCTCTTGATTTTGATTTCTATTAAAATTTTGGCCTTAAAGCAGCTTTCACGGCTTATTACTTAGTCTTACCGTGGGCGGATATTTAATGACTCTCGGCGCTGAACTCAGAGTCTGAGTTTTCAACTCACAGTTCCGCTATTTCAACATTGTTCTACTACGGTGTAGACATAAAGAACAGTAGAAGAGTAAAACTATATTTGTATGCTTTCATTCCTTTGTTTGCATATTCTTTTGGAAAGCGAGACGACCTGAGCTGAATTTGACCTGAGGCATGACGACTTGAGGCAAAATTGCCCAGGAATGACTTGCAAGGCGAGACGACCTGAGGCGAATTTGACTTGGAACGAGAAAATCTGTGGCGGAAATTGCCTTTGGGGCTAAACGTCCCTAGGCGTCGAAGAATTGTTCAGTTTATGAAAGATCTTGAAGTAGTTACAGCCCTAAATCATTCGAGTTCTTTTGGAAAGGATTTCATTAAGTTTAAGGGTAAAAATAAAAATTTCATTCACCAGCCTAGGTCGGTCCGTATTGGGAAAAAGTGTGCCAGTGGTCTCGATACGGACCTCCCGGCTGGCGAATAACATATGTGTATTTGCGTCAGCAGGAGAGGTTTTGGCGAAGCACATCAGCCACATCGCTTCAACAGAAGATGCCGGTTTGCATCAAACAAATTATGGCGGGCAAACCTGCGAGCGTATTTGTCTGTTTGATTCAAAATATCGTTTACGATCATATGGAAGAAAAAAACGAAAAAACTGCGTCACCGTTTCACTCATCGGCTCTACGTATGTTTGTCTTCGTCGGATGACAGACCCCCAGTTTTTACTGATTTAACTCATTTTAATTGGTAACATTCTCATTTCCGGAAATGCAGTGACGGGCAATTGATTGGGGGTGTTTTGCTTGATAACAGCCTCCTCGGGCAAGGTTTTTTTGGCTTTCCTCGCACCCTCCCCTATCGCCGCCCTTATCTCCAAATCAAACATGACCGGTTGAATAAACAATCGCGAGCTTCTTAACGTTAACTCGTTGCCTGTTTAAGGTAATCAAGTAGCATTGCCTGCAGTTACATGTACCTGAGGGTTCTGATTACCCTATAATAATTATAAGTGGCATACACTTAAAATATCCAAACACTTTTACAGTATTCAATAGTGTTGTGTTAAAGTGTTATTTTTGCAACATTCTTCGAAAAATATCGCGATGACATTATTCTAGACCAAATCAGGTCAGGTTTTGGTTCCAATGATCTGTGCAGGAACTGTTAAGTTACGTGAAGACTGATTGTAGACAATGTGCATGATTTAAACTGGTTCTTTCTCAGCTCTTTCCATTGGCGAGCTGAGAGTACCAAAGCTTATCTGATACGTTTTTTCACATATTATGTTCGAGTTGATTTGATTGAGCTGTTTTCGACATAAATTTATATTCATCGTTGACTTGTTACTTACATGAACTTACCACGTGGTTTCTTCATTGAATTTAAGTTCTCGCATCATTCTTTCTCGGATCTGCTTGTTTCATGTAAGTTAGTTTATTGCTAAGCTAGGTTAGACAAACAGAGAAATTGAAATCAGTTAAAAACAACCTTTACCTTCCTCCATGTAAACAGTCCTCTAGAAGTACATTTTTTGCGCCAGTTTTGTCGAATCAGCTGTTTCAGAAAGGTTCAATTGTGGACAGCGAATTTGTAAGCATAAAAACTGTACATAGGTTAAAAGCCATCATGATAAAAATATACCTTTTCCTCCAAGATCTGAGGATTTTATCTCTTGAAATTTAACTTGCTCTTTCCTGGTAGACACTTTGAGATCTCCGTTGGAAAAAAATTAATTGTGCTCTTCATTCAAATTTGAGAACAAAGCGCACCTGGCGTACTTAACAAACAAAACGACTAAAAGGAGGATGTTAAAAAAAATAGAAAGCAACTCTTAGGTACTCGTATAATTTGGATTTTTATCAAGGCTGTGAAAGTTGATTTTTGTTAACCACTAACCTTAGTTATACCCTTTAACGTGTTTACACTCCGGCACGGTCACTTTTGGTTTTTTTTTTTTAAGATGGATCTTATCTCTCACTATATTGACCAAAACAAATTAAACTTTATGTCATCCGATCATCCAATGGTATCAAAGGGATAAAAAAAGTAAAATTAGAAATGCCACTCAAACGATTGAACAAATTATAGTAGCGATCTTCATGTTCATAAGCTTTTTAGTTTTTCGTTAAATAGCTGAAACCTGCAAAATGATACGAGAAACATTTGTATGGGCTATCGATGTTAAACTGCTATGTTGAGCTGCGCAAAGAAACCCCAAACTTCACAAGCGACTTGACATTAATTTAAGAGGTATCAAAAATTGTATCCATGAAAAGGTATTTAAGCACGCACTTCAATAGCGCTGCAATTATGAAGTGCTAAGGTAAGTTTGAGTTTATAGTGTAACTCGGACACCAAACTTCAAGTTGCCCTGGCACTTTTTGTGATCCGCGTTTTCTTTTTTTAGAAAATCACGATATCTTCTCCGTTGGGCTTATGCGACTCTTAACTTCAGCACTTAAACTGAAACCGCGCAAATAACGCGACGTAGTTTTAAAATAACAGAAATAGCAATTTTTAACTGTTCAAAAACCTTTCCTGGCTATGAGTTGCAGCTTCACTATATCGATTTTGAAGTTGGCGTTTTCAAGTGGTAACCTAAGGAATTAAATTTATCATACAATCGTATTCTCATTGGTGAGTGGCGACTTCGCAGCAATAGTTGAAGCTAGTATGAAACACTGTTCAAAGTATACTATCTAATAATTATAATGATAATAAGGATTCTGATGATGATGATGATAATTATCATTATTATTATTATAATTATTGTTATCATTATAGGGCAATAGGATGGAAATTGAAAGGATGGTGAACAGGAAAAAATCCTGTAGTCTCGGTAGTAGTAGGAGCCTAAGGGTCAATTTCTCCCAAATTCCACGTTTCTTTTATCAGATGAAGACCAAGTATAGTATTGGGGTCTTTCATAGATTTTCATTACTCGAAGCCGCAGATATCTCACGGAAGGTGAAATTGAACTGAGGTCACGGAGATCTGATGGATAGGCAATAGAATGGAAGACCTGTCATCAAAGCTAAGAATGTGAACCTGACTGATAATATCAATAATGATAATAATAACAATAATAATAATAATAATAATAATAGTAATAATAATAATGATAATAATTCAAGATTATTTACAAAATACAATTGATAAAATTAATATACGAAATTTCAAAAAATTCAAAATCAAGTATAATACAAAAGCATTTAGCTTGAAAATTGCCCTAAAAAAAACAAAAAAAAAAATTTAGATTCCCGCAGTGGCGACGTTTATTTTGCAGTCTAAGGAGTATTCTATCTTGCTGCGAAAAGGCGTTCTTGAACCTCTCATGCGTGCGTGAACCGATCTTAGAAGTTTGAAAGAGATTTGTGTCCTGAGCCATGTGATAACGGTGTTATACGGCTCGGTGTCCTTCTGAGCTATCTTATCTGCAAGATGCTTCAGAAAACGCTGACACTCATTTCCCATTCCGCCATTGGTTCCAAATACATAAGATCTGAATGAACCCATCTCTACAACTAGCACCCGCTGCTGGTACTTGCGTTTCTTCTCGTCCTCTTGCTCCTTGAATACTTCAGATGTTGTCTTGTTCTGGTAACACTTGAAGTTAACGTGCGTAACTCTAACATCAAAAAATACCGTAACTCCTCTTGACCAGAAACCTCCCGCCCTGATATCTAATCTTGCCTCAGAGCTTGTGACGGCACTTCTCAAATATAGCCGTTCGTTGTCGAGGGGTTGAAGGCGTGGTTCAATTTCCACATTGTTGCAGACCTTATTGATGAATGCCGTTAAGAAATCACGGACACCATCATGTCTCTGCGCTATAAAGCCCCCCTTTTTTACATGAGAGGGTATGGCCTACAGTAAATTTAACCCCACACACACATAGACCTGGTAGATCGACTAGAGGCAAATTATACCGTATGCGTAGTGAGTCTCTGAACTCCTGCTTATTAAGGGCTAAGCCCTGATCTGCAAGAGGCATCGCATTTAACCAAGAACTTGCGCTTTTGTCTCTCGATTGATTAACTAGTTGCAGCAGGTCTGGGGAAAGAGATGAGTCAATGTTTTCCATTTTCTCTTTGTCGCGCGCCCTCTTAAGTGACTGATGATGTTTCTTAAGCTCCTCCGTAGAGCTTTCGCCTGGCGCCATAAATGTACTCTGCGATGTGATAGAATCTACGTGCGCAGTAGTTATTGACTTCGAGGTA